TTTATTAAAAATAATTATTCAATTTATTATAGAATGCATCTGTTGCCAGAAGTAAAACATTTAGATTATTAAGTTTGTCTGCCACCCTGGCCTAGGGTAACCTCTTCTTCACCATCACTTCCTGGTGTTCCAAAAAGGGAGCTTGGAAACTTCCCATGTAACCTTGCAATCACCTGTTTTACAGAGCTATAAACAAAAATGTTTTTCCCAGATGACAGAAACATTTTCCCCTGATGGTCGTTTGCTCAAAGGTCGACATTTAATCCAAGAAAAATAACAGAGAACACCTGTTGCTTAGAAGAGGTGCATTTTTTTTCTCTGCAGTTCTTAAGGTAAAACGCAGTTTGGATTTGTCCTTGTTCTGTCGTATGATACTGAGTGTTTGGATGCTGCTAAAATACAAAGTAGTATGGATGTGTAGGTGAAATTCTGGTGATACGTTAGGGGCGACAATACAATGTATCACGATATATTGGGATACATTCAGTCAGATGTTCTTAGCAATTATTTGACTGGATTTATTGTAGGAATATTCAAAACAGTCCAAACTGATACTTAACTTGTTTAACATGAGGTATCTGAACCATAATAGAGGGTTTTACATTTCAACAGTGGAAACAAAACATTGTTTGAATTGCAACAAAAATAAAATAAAAGAAAAGAAAACACTAAAATGTTTGCATGTAAATTCTTCCCAAAATTAGATACACGGCTTTTGAATATCGATGTAATATCACAGGAAAAATAATTCACAATATTGCAATATAAATATTTTCAATACACAGCTTTTGAATATCGATATATTATCGCTAGGAATTTTTTTTTTATATATTTCCACATAGATATTTTCTTAAATCCCTACAAACTGCGTGAATGATGGTAAAGCCATCCTTCCACATGTTGCAATTCATCCAAACCCAGCAACAATTGACTTATTCAATACTGCATTTTGGGTGATTGTGCCTTGGGTGTAGTATGCTTATTTAGGTTTATTTATGGTTGTCCAATGACCAATATTAATCTTGGTTAAATCAGGAGGGACCAGCAATGTCTGATCCATAGTAATACATTTTAAGGCATCCCAAAAATGTTGTCAAAGAAATAAGAGGCTACCCATGCAAGCAAAGCTTTGATTACTTCTGAAAAGCAGGATGCAGGAAAAAGGATAAAAATTGTGAATTAACTCAGTATATGCGTAGAAAAATTTTAACAAGTGAATATTTTACCTTTCACCCTTTAATGGTGGGTGATAATTTAAGTTATGCAGTAATAAAGCGTGGTGTCAACCATAGTTTTTAAGCTAAATTGAGAGATCAATATTTGACAAAAATTGGAAATCTCAATTGGGAATGACACAGATAAATCTTTGGTAATGACCATTTTTGTTTATTTTCATGCAGTTACACAAAACCAGACCAAATCAAAGATGGGAAACTTTCAGGTTTTTGGTTTTCAAATTTTCCCGTTGAATGATGATACTAAGCTCTGCTACATCAAAAGCAAGCCTTTGTATGACGAAAGTATTTCAACCTACAATGGCAAATCTGCAAAACAAGCAAGCTTAAAACATATTTTTATGCCTCTTAACATTCTAACATAAGCTATAAATATTTTGTGGAAAAAAATAATTGAATGAAGTGGTTCTGTCGCATTTACCTAAAAAACTCTGCCAGTAACACGGCTCATTCTGAAACCAACAATTGAACCATCCTGTTGTCGGTCTCACAGAACCGCTGCACTTCCATGGGTAATCCACTCATTATCAAATGATCAAATGTGAATTATGGCTGCTTGTGCCAAAACCCCTTATTGTGGGGGTATCTACCAAGATGGTGAGCATGGGTGTGATTTTGTTTGAATGTATGGTTTAGGGTTGTCACGGTGTGAAAATTTAACCTCACGGTTATTGTGACCAAAATTATCACGGTTTTCTGTATTATCGCGGTATTTTTTTAAACGTGTTACATTTTCAGACAACTAAATAAACCCTGTATATCAGGAAAATATTGTCCTCAGTTTGTGTCTAAATTTTGCCAAAAATTTGTTATTTTGTAATTATGTTGTTTATTTGTTTACATTTTTCCTCTTTAGTTTTGAAAATTGCAATATTTGCCCATAACTTCTTATTTTTTGTCTGTTTGATGTCATCATTTTAAAAATATTAGATCAGATGATACTCAGTACTCAAGTAGCCTTCTAATCAGATACTTTTTTTACCCTTACTTGAGTAATAAACCCTATATCAGGAAATATTGTCCTCGGTTTGTGCCCTTCCGGTGAGCTTTGCAGATTTGGGAAAATGTCATCAGGCAGTAATCATTGTGAAATTCATAATTATTCTCTGAGAGAGACCAACTCTTATCTGCCCCTGGGAGCCCCGTAATGCATAGCGTCATTTCAATATGGCGGTGTCCGCGACACGGTTTATATGCAGGTAGTGGCGCTGCGGCTGCTTTATATAGCGACTCGTTGCATTCTCCCTCGACCCAAATCCTCGGATCACGCATTTTAGCTAAAACGCTAATGTTAACTTGCCTTGCGTTGACTGTAGAGTTGTGGGTGATGGTCACGCAGATGTGTCATTAGATTTGAAGCGTTGCTGCCTTTCACAGAAACTTTTCTGCACGTGCTGCAAACAGAATAGCTGTCTTCTATCAACTGTCCCTCGGCATTCTTCAAATATCCAAAAAAATGCCCGTACTTCTGACTTTGTCTTCTTTGAGGGATAATAAATGTGCTGAGCGCTGCCGTCTCCTCCTTTGGCCATTATTTCAGCTTTGGCTTCAAGAAAGTTTTGGTTGTAAACAACAAAGCGCGCATGTGCCGCCGGCAACTTCAGCAGATGATACGGTGGCTGGTAAGGGTCACCGTGCCTACACCACAGCCACGGTAATCCACCGAGATAATATTTTTTTTTTAAAACAAGACGGTTTTTATTTTTGTCAACTCTTTTACTCGGGTTTACCGCTACACCGGTTACCGTGACAACCCTAGTATGGTTAGAGTTACAAGGAATTTGGTCAAATTTACTTAAATGATGACGGTACTAAAGGTGTAGAACCAAAGCCGTGGTCCCAGGTGAACTTTTGAATTATCCTTAGTAGGGATGGGTACCGAATTCGTTACTTTTTAAAGGTACCGACCGAATTCCATAGTACCGACCGAGCACCGATTCACGTCATTTCAAACGGTGCCTCGTTTCGGTACCCGTCCTTCATAACGAGAAATTGCCTAGACAGCTGCGCATGCGCAAGAGCGTTTTGTCGTTGGTTGCTGCGAGCCAGTTGTAAACAGAGTAGCATGGTAGAAAGAACGCATGCTAAAGCTTGGGTCCACTTCACTAAATGTGATGGGTAACTGGGTCATGATGAAACCAGCGATAACAATCTAAGTGAGACATCCTCATCTTAAGCTGCTCCGGTAGGTAAATAAAATGTTTAAGATAACGTTAGCTTGATTTTTTAGCTTCCGTTTCGCTAATGGTGCATTCGCTTTCTCCTCGGAACTCCGAATTCCCAACTAGATGCGCTCTAAAGTTTGGCTTCGCCTTACTAAATGTGACGGGTGATTGGGTCAAGATGAAACAAGTGACAACGATCTAAGTGTGAGGCATCATCGTTTTAATCTGCTCCAGCAGCTAAATAAACTGTTTAAGATAATGTTCGCTTGGTATGCTAGCTTCCATTGCTACCATTGTTATCAGCTAATGGTGCGTTCGCTTTCTCCTCGGAAATTCTAACTTCCCAGTAGGAAAAATCAAATGAAAAAAGACGGCAAAAGGAATGAAGATACACAGTAAATTTAGTTCACAGTAAAGATGTTTGCTTCAGTTTAATTATCAGCTTATAAAACTACAAGGACGATGTTAAAATACAAACAGATGAATGTTATTTATCGTGATATTTATCAAATATTGTTATATATTGAGAAAAATATATATTTAATTATAAAAGAGATTTAAAATAATAAACACTCAAAAGTATCGAAAATTGGTACCGTTAAGTACCGGTATCGATTCGTAGGTACCGGGAATTAGTACCGGATCAATTCAAATGTCAAAGGTACCCATCCCTAATCCTTAGCCAGTGGAGCTAAAATACTCTCAGATTTTCTCTTTCAGACTCTATTAGCAACTTGCTTTAAATGCCAATGACCAATAAATAATTTACAAGTATTAGGTGGAACTCCCTGCTGTGGATGAAACAGAGGGTAGATTTGCTGTTGAAACATGAGATGAAAAGCTGAATTTCTTTTCAAGTAGCCTTATAAAACTGCTTTAAGGTCTCGTTAACATTTTTGTTGCTCTGTCTGAAGTCTAACACAGACTCAGCACTTTGTAGATCTCAGCTAGTGATGAGTAAGTGTTTCCCCTTGACGTGGTGAGAATGTGATGAAGATCTAGAGGGCCAAGGTACTTCCTCCCTTGGCTCACAAGACTGAACCAAACCTTTGATTAAAGCTTTCCAGGGTGTTCTACAACACTAACCGAACAAGTGAAAACTATCTATGTGAGAACAATATTCATCATTCTAGCTTTACATTCAACAACTGAGAAAATTTGTATTTGGTTAACCCTTTATGAAACCTCAAACTTCAGCACTTTCGGCGACTGGAAACGTTCGAGGTTTGTGGGAGGAAATACTTTATTGATACCACGTTTGGAAATACGCCACTGTTTTTAAATGAAATTAAAATTACAGTGGCCACTCCTAAATTGAGACATCGTTTTGGACTGTCAAACCGAATGGTCACCAGTATTGTTGACATAGGTTTGAGGTTTACAAGGGACACAGTTCACTGCTGTGGGAATCTCAATACTTATATTTAAGCTTAGAAAAATACACACATTTTTGTGGATACCCTTCAATGTGAGCCAAAATCTTTGCAACTTCCAATGTTGCTATTTTCCTTTGCAAGACTGTATCCTTTTTATTCCTATAATTTCGTCACCCAAAAATGTGATGAATTCTAAATTTTTCCTGTCTGTTTATCTTCTACAGACAAGCTGCTGGTCTTAACGGTTGCAACAGAGGAAACCGATGGATTCCACCGCTTCATGCAGACTGCTCACTATTTTAACTACAGTGTAAAGGTAAAGTTTGCAAAAAATATGCTTAAAATCTTCCTTTTGGTCTACAATCTTGAGCCTTACATACACCAAGCAGCAGAATACTTTCAACACACACTTACCGGAACTGATTGGGGCTGCTAAAGGAAACAATGAAGTGCAGCAAGCTGTGAAAGCATTCATCCCAGAGGAAAACTCCCATGATGTAGGTTTAGAATTCCCCTCTGTGGTGAAAATAAGTAAGAAAAACTTTTTTTTATTTTTAGCTTGGGGCTCTGTTGTTCCTGCCTGCATTGGTAACCTCATGTGCACCTGTGTGTAATTGTTTTCACCACTTTAATGACAAACCATTCTGAATTTCCCAGAACTCTACAGAAAGAGATAATTTGACCCCTGTGGTTTATCAGTTCGAGACACAACTTTAACCCTCCCACTGTCTTCATGGGTGACCCCGCCAGGAAAGTTGACCATTGAGCAGGGTTGATGGTTTATTCCTTGAGGTCCACGTGGCAGGGGTGAGGTGGTGCTCACTCCTCACCCCTGCCACGTGGACCTCAAGGGATAAACCATCAAGTAGGTATTGAATGGGGTCATTGTGATGATATTGGTTGCAATAAACATACCTTTCCTCTATCTTTTGTCAGCAAAATGCTTCAACCCTTGGTATCCATTGGAGCATAAGAAGTCCAATTTAGGTTTATCACATAGCCAAAAACATTGGCCACTTTGAGGCACTTACTACCATCTTAAATGAGACATATTATGCAAAACTCATCTTTCGCATACTTTTGTGTTGCCATGTTGCCAAATATGAGAAAAACCTATCCATCTGTTTTCTGTCAGTGTTTGGTTATGAGCCATTTCAAAAAGTTCCCATTTGTGACATCATAATAAAGGAAATTTACATAGAAATACCTCTCACCTCCCCAGGCTGGAGAACAGGTATATCGGAGTGTCTCAGCTTACAGCAGCTTGAGCAGCACATGGATGGGTGGGCGTGGCCAGCTCCAGCTTGTTTACTTAAAGTGACAAAGCCCTGAAATGATTCATTCTGGAAGGTACTGAAAATGTCAGGAATAAAACAGCTAAGATTGCTTTAAATGAAAGGTGTTTAATGCAAAGAACTTCATAAACATGTTTGTATGAACCATAGAACTATATTGTAAAATAAGTCATAATCGTCGTCGTCCTCGTCTTCCTCCACTTATCCCGGTCCGGGTCGTGGGGGCAGCATCCCAACTAGGGAGCTCCAGACCGTCCTCTCCCCAGCCACCTCCACCAGCTCCTCTAGCAGGACCCCAAGGCGTTCCCGGACCAGATTGGAGATGTAACCTCTCCAACGTGTCCTGGGTCGACCCGGGTCATAATGCCTTCTTTAAATACCACATTCTATCTGAATATGGCTGCTTACTGTATGCCTCCCTTTATGACCGCAGTGGACCTATTTTCTAATGGCTATTACAGCAGGAATGGTTTCCGTTTTGAACCATAGATAACAACAATCTATCCATCTTGCTTCAAAAGGTTTTGGTTTTAATCATTAAAACTGGTAACATTTCCCTTAAAGGTAGAACTTGGTGTCAAATAACACCTTTCTAATTAATGTCCATTTTCGTAAGATATGGCCTTGAAAAACAATAGATAGAGTTTTTGCAATAACATTTTTGTTCACAGTCTCAGTTTTGTCTTCCTAGGTGTTGGGAATGGGAGAAACATGGAAAGGGGGCGATGTCGGTCGCTCCATTGGCGGAGGGCAAAAAGTCAGACTACTGAAGAGCACCATGGAAATATTGGCTGACCAAGAAGATCTTGTCATCTTGTTTGTGGATAGGTATGCAATTAACCGTAATAGTTTTATCCATCTTTGACCATCATTACTACATTCTTATTTAAATTGGCCCTAGAAAGTTTCAACTTCCCATATAAAGTTAAATTACGTTAAATTGGCACCAAGTAAACCAAGTAAGGAGGTGCTAAGGCACTTATTTTCAACTGGGTAGAAATATGAATCATCTTGTAATAATAGTTTTTGGGAAAAGCCATATCTCCATGTAGAGAGGTGTTTTTAGATTTGGGGGGGGGGGGGCTATTCTGGCAAAGTCCATATTCTATGAGGAGTAATTCTCTCGTGCAGGTAGCTCAGTTATGAGCTTTCAAAGCCAATGAAATTTTCGCTGAGGTAATATGAGTGGTTTAGAATAATAAGTGCTTTGTGAGACATTTCTCCTTAAATAGAGCAAAAGATTATCATTTTTACTGCACCATGTCATGTGGAAAATGCTAGTCATAATTGCTGTTCAAAGCAGTCCCACCCTTGAAACAGGTAGCTGGGATGTAATTTTCCCTCATTTAGAGGAAGTGAATGTAGTCTAATAAACTGTTGGAGTGTTTTAGAAGATAAGCAGCCATTCAAATATATTTTCTATCTGTAATCCTGCAGGGCCACCAGGAGTGTTTAGACAGTTTCATCTTCTGATACAATCATTATCTGATGTATTTTAATTTCAAATGTGTACACCAAAGTTTGAGGGGAATAATTATATTTTCTATGAGTGTTGAGTTTCCGAGAAGATGCAAAATAAATTGATTAAAATCAGTAACACTGCTTTAATATGTCTATTTGTTAAATACTAAAAGGCTTTTCTAACATTACATCTTAGCCAGAATACAGCAAATAGGGCATCTTGATTGAGGAGAGGTCGTGTTTATAGTGATGTCACTTCCAAAAAACAAAATAAGGTAGCTTGGATCTTTAAAACAGATGTTTTAATAGTTTTCTTATATTGCTATTTGAATGACCTCAGCTTGGAACAATTATCAATAATTGTGACTGGATTAATCTAAAAGCTAGTCCGAGGTAAGCCAATACCAATGTGGATGGTTGACCATTTAAACACTTATAATATTAAACATTTTAGAAGGTTTATGTGGACTTTTGTTTGAATAAGTCTTTATGTTGTTGTCCATTTAACATTGGCTTAATTAGAAAAAATGGCTGGACCTTGGGCCTCTAAATGACTGCCTGCTTTAAACCTTGGGTCAGTAATGTATAAATGTTAAAGTTATAAATAAAATTGGTGACATCAAACAAGGTGAAGACCTCTTTAGATCAGCTTGTGCTGGAGCAAAGAAGAAAAAACCTTAGAACAATTAAAACACAAAGACCAGCGATAATCCAAACAAAGGTGCCAGCTACAGGAGGATCTGCCGATGAACCAGAGGACTATTTAGCTGTTGGGAGGGTGATTAATGAGTGAAGGCAGCTGAGTTGATTGATAGATGTTGAACAGGTGTGTGAAGAGCTAGACTAAGCTAGAGTTGTGGTAAAATAATTAACGTTGCAGGGATTTAAAAAACTAGAAAAGAGGCAAAGGCTCCTCTAAAGTACAAGAAACACAATAAAAAGTAAAAAGAAATAAAGAAATGTAGTGCTTGCTAACATCTAAGTAATTCTAAAGACCCAAAATAAAAGGGAAAATTGATAATAATGATGTAAAATTTTATAAAATAATTATGAACTGCAATAGTTAAGTTATAATTGTATTAAGGCAAAAAAAATCCTTTTAAGGTTTGATCCACACTAATTAACTGTTAGCTCATCAATCTGGTCTTAATTAAACTTTATTTCTCCAAACTCAATTGTTCCTAACTTTGAACAGAATGTAACCTCAAAAACTTTGAACCAATATTTTAAAGAACAATTTTACTGAGAAACATATTTTCCCCTTGTTTTGACCAAAATATGATCAGTCACTCCGAGTTTCACATTCAGGCGTTCAATTGCACTTCCCGTTGAAACTTAACATTCATGGACTCACCCATGGACGTAATTTTTTTTTTTTGGGGGGGGGGGGGGGGGGGGACATGTCCCCCCACCTTTTCCAAAGTCAAGTTTTGACCCCTGCACTTTGTACCATCCAAAAACTATTACGCTATCTTAAATTGACACTGGTTGAGCTCTAGGACCAAGCAGAAAACAACCGTTTGTGTTGAAGCCTGTTTCCCATTAGAGCATACTGTAGAGATACCCCCCTTGGTCTTTAAGATCAACAGTTTAGCACAGCAGCTGGTTAAAGTTTAACAATGCAGACAGTAGCATGAGCAGAACTAAGAAAATGTAGGGAAAAAACTAAAATCCGGTCCATTTCCTGACTGGAGTTCTCCTGAATTTATTTCCGAGTGATTGGGCCATTGATTGAAAGGCTTTCTAGTGCTGCAGATTTATTTTACAGAGAAATAAGGCTGATTTATGAGAAAACATGTCACAGGGGATTTGTGTCTCAGCATGTGTCTGCCAGATGTGGACAGACCGTACAGACGTCCTCACCTACATTAGTTCCCCCTTTTCTCAAGGCTTAACTTTTACTTTTGCTGCCAAATTGCATAAAGTAGTTTTACAGTGCAATCAATCTTTCATGTTTTCTTTTTGGACTTAAAACCGTAGCTGTTGCACAAATATGCATTTATTGACTGTTAAACTGGTGTTACAGTAACAATTCGGCCTTTAAAGTGATTTTTATTCTCATTTCAAAGCAGTCTAAGTCTAAAGATACAAACATATCTGCTCTTTGAATAACAGAATAGTTTTATACAAGCAGCTGAAGAGTGTGTAATTTACTTTTTCCTTCTGTCAATACATCAGCGTGCAGTTTGAGCTGTAGGTTTTCATTAAAATTCACATTTCCAAAGCTTTTTCCTGCAGAAAGCTTGTCTTTACAAATTATGAGGAATGTTTCTGTTTACACTTAGATTCATATCTCTCAGACAAGTTATGCATCAGACACACAATAAGACACAGTGAAGAGAAGGACTGCACCTAAAGGATAAATAAAAGATAACAATCTGTTATATTTTATCTTCGCTCCTCCCTTCTAGCTACGATCTTATCTTTGCTGGGGGACCAGAGGAGATTCTCAGGAAGTTCCTGCAAGCCAATCACAAGGTGGTGTTTGCTGCAGACGGGCTGATATGGCCAGATAAACGACTAACTGACAAGTATCCCTCAGTCCGCAGTGGCAAACGCTTTCTCAATTCTGGAGGTAGGTTACAAAAAAGTGGGAATATCTTTACGTTTGTTCCTGTTTTAAACATTTGTTGAAAGTCTGGTCTGTGCCTTTGTGCTGTCAGTACTGTGGAAAATGAAACCATGGCAATCTGTAAACATGAAAGTAGAAGTTAAAACTAAAAAGCTCACTCTTTGCAGAATTTTTAGGTCTGGTAGAAGTCACATTTTCCTACATCAATCAACATTAGAGCTGAGGAAAATAATCAAATAATCGATGCATCGGGATGCGGACATAAACGATTCTGCATCGTAGAAGAGTGCGCCATAATCGATTATAGTGGAATGTAGTTTTGTTTTTTTAACGGCGACACCAGCGCTGTATCCAAATCTGTCAGAGTGAGCGTCCTCCACATTTACCTCCGCCTTAATGTGGTACTGCAGGGCTGAGCGCTTGAGTTGTCACCCGAGACCAAACCGGAACCGAATCAGCCCGACCGGTTCTGTTGGATTTGGGCCGGGAATTATGCTAATTGAGCGGGTTGTCGTGCGGCGCGCTCCGCTCGCTCGATCAGCGACCGAGAGAGAGAGAGAGAGACACTGTCTGCTCAGAGAGACGATCGGAGGACGCTCCTCCAAACCGATGCTCCAAACACGCATTATTATTTTCATAATTTAATTATTATTTCTCCTGGAAGCGCTCAGTCAGACTGCTTGTTGTAATGTAGGGAGATCCGGTCTTGGGGAGGGGGCGGGGTCAGTGACGGCGGCTGCAGCGTTATCGTCTGTCTCTTTTATTTAGGGACACGGAGAAGTTAAAAGGAGAGAGAAATAGAAGTTCTTGTTCCACTTTATTCTTTTGTTTCATGATGATAAACTGATGTTAAATTCAGCTTAACGAGAAACTGGGAGGAAGCTTTGGTGCATTTTAAGTTACAGGAGATCTTGTCTCCTATCTGCTCCTCCAGAGACAGCATGGACATGAGGCTTAAAGGGTGAGGGTCACACAGGACAGGTTAGTGGAAAGGTTTGTAGTTAGCTGGTTAGTGAAGCTGATCCATCAGCTGGGTAATTTAATCCTAATCCAGCCCACAGCCTTCTGCTGGTGTTATTATCAGGAAGAATAAAACACACATCTTAAATATTATTGGAAGTGTAGAATTTGTTTTGTGTTTTATTATTTTCTGCATCAAACAGAACTTGATTCATTCTCCAACATTTCAGAAACGAACCACTGGGTTCAAATAAAATAACAAACTAAGTCAAACATTTCATTTGGTGTTATTTCTGACATCCTTGAACTGTGGCATAAATATCGGCTGCTCAGAGACATTAAACACTCTTATATGAACCCATTATGTATTTATTATTACATTATGTGTCCTGTAGGTTTTCTGTATTTTTTTTAGATTTTGTGAGTTTTGGCAAAGCGTGTTTTTCTCAGCCTGAGGCGTGGTGTTGAACCAGGAAACAAATGTTTTACTTTGTTAAATCTTCTTAAATGTTTAAAATGTTTTGTCCTAACCTGTTGTGGGTGGAGAGATTTTGAGGGATGGCAGGTTGTGTCAATTACGTTTTAGATAAAAAAAATAAAAAGCAATTATCTGACATCTTCTATTTATCGATGAAAACAAATCAATATGAAATAATCGTGATGCATCGTGATGCATCGGGATATCGAATCGAATTGAATCGTTGACCCAATAATCGTAATCGAATCGAATCGGGAGACAAGTGAAGATTCACACCTCTAATCAACATGGTCACACACTGGATTATATTTCGGGCTCCCCATGAGTATGTCAGCTGAGGGCTTTTGGGGGAGCCCATCACCCATTTGCAGGAGCTAGGCTCCCCCTAGCTCCCCTTTAATTTGAACCCTGATCTCTTCCATTGATCACATTCAGGACGATAAGGTCTTTCACATAAGAGATGGACGAACTTGAAGCACTTAGGAGAATATTGGTAATGTATGTGTTACACTGGCACATGGCTGCAAGATTGTATCTAAGATTCAAATGTCCGACTCTAGTGTTTGCATCCAGAGTTGCATTTTCTAGATGTCTGTTGAGAATCTCCTTTGCAGTCATCTGTTGAGGCAGCAGAATCAGAGCCAGTGCCTGTAAAAGGTTGAACAAGCTGATAAAGAACATAATGGACAACCCAGATCATCATCTTAGGGAGGTAATCCAACAACAGTGTCTTCAGTCAGAGACCTTCTCATATCCAGTGTAATCCAAACTGCTACAGAACATTCTTACTGGCCACAGATAGAGCAAGAAACGAGGAATATTTACACAAACCTAAAGAATATCCAAGATCAAGATCGTTTTTTAGAGTTTGACTTTGACATAATGTAGGTCTACGAAGAATAGGATTTAATCAGACACCACTGTCTTAGACAAAATAAAGAAGTCCGTGTTCTGCTGTAGAGTTTGTGTGAACTTGGCCCAATGCAGATTGTACATTGGCTAAAGATATTCCGCAGAAAATAAAAATGAAAAGGAGGTTGGCCCCTCCCCCCAATTTTGAGAATGACATTGAAAAATTGAGGGAAACATGAAAGGTCAAGATTAGCATCAGACTGTAAAGGAAGACGTTTTAGGGTCAGTCAGAGAAAAAGTGAAACTCATGTTAAGTGCTAGATGTGCTAAATAACAAACAGGCCTTTAATAGCACATGTATTGGAGTAGATTATGAGTTTGTGGGGGAACATTTTATCTACTACACCATCCCTGTAATTGAACTGTAACTTTCCCCATTTAACACTCGTGTGTCAGATGTCCGAAGGAATGTTAGCATTGTTTGGTTAAACTGGTGTTAGACCCGTTTAACGCACCAGCCCATTTGAGTGCACACAGTTTAAACATTCCATTATCAGCTGCTGAACTCTGAAGACTTGCAGGCGTTGTTGGAATTCAGTGGGTGAAGCAGCTGTGGACCCTCAGTGTTTTTAATGCAAATCGTTCCAGAGCATCTATGACAAACAGCAACAGGCTTGTGTTGGTTTTAAAATCTAAAACCCAGGACTTTTATTACTATCTCAAGGTGTAAAAATGGAAGTATATTTTCCCTTTTAAACCTGCTCGGTGAGGAATTTCCTCTCCTCTCCACTCCGAGCAGGATGTGGGAGAAGACCATTCATGTGGATATTAACTGCATATTTAGCTGTCTGTTTTTAGAAAAGCACCCTCCCTGTGGTTGCTCTGACAGATATTTACATTACATGCAGAGATGTTTCCAGGTCTTATGCAAATGTAACAACACGTACATATTGCTACAGAAAAAGAAGGATGGGCAGATATTTTTCACGAGGTGTACTAGTGTTCTTGCCTAATCCTAAAGGCTGCTGATTCCTGCTAGTTCTCTAGGACACCGAATGACTGCTTTTCATTGTGGTCATCAGTCTGGACTGACCTCCCATAGTGGAGCCTGACTGTCTCAGACTGATCAGAGACTGTTTTTGGCATTCATTGTCATTGACTTGACATTTAGATTTGTCTTGGGCCCCCGAATGTGCCACGGTTTGCATGAAATTGCAGGTTTTGTTTGTGTTCCTACGGCTACCGCCCAAGTGACCAGTGAGGAAAGTTTTATAGCATTTGGACAAACACACCCACCGTGTCACAGAGAGTACAGTGTCCTGGGAATAGGGGATTTTATGTGCAGTAACGAGCAAAAAAGGTCACTCACTTACAAAACTAACAAAGATTGAAACTAATTAAAATCATTTAAGGCTCTGCACTAAGATTGTTAAGTTTTGCATCTTACAGACAGGATAACCGACGGCCCGGCTGTTCGTGATGGAGGAACAAATAAACACTGCGGTCTGGTTCAGCTCAGTAGAGGCACACGTGACACCAGCGTCACATACAGTGCTTCATTTTATTGACACGTGATTGGGTACCATGACACATACACAGGTGTAAGCACACATAATCAGGACTGATTTGTAACACCCCCACTTGCTCTTATACCATTAACCTACACACGTCCACTAAACACATTTTCAGTTCTGTTGTTCAGTTTCCCCCCCAAACAAATGCTTCTTATGTCTGCCCATTTTACATTTGGTCACAGGTTTTGTCAAAACATCTGCAACCATATCAGTGGTTGGACAATACACGGTGGTGATCCTCCCGTCCTTCAACACAGATCTAATAAAATGATATTTGACGTTGATGTGTTTGCTTCTCTGACGACCTATTGGATCTTTAGACAGAGCGATCGCACCTTGATTGTCACCAAATATTGTTACTGGTACATAACACTCGTCATCTAAATCTTGTAGCAGTTGCAAAAAATATAAACTCTCCTGTGTGGTAGCATTCAGAGACATATTCTGCCTCACATGTTGATAATGCAACAGTTCGTTGTTTCTTGGTTTTCCAGGAAACAACAGAGCCAATCTTGTTCAAGCTAACACAGTAACCTGTTGTGCTGTGTCTGTCCATCACATCCACAGCCCAATCAGCGTCACAATAGGCTATCAGCTGTAGCTTGCCTTTACTCTTGGTGTAACATAAACCTTGATGCGTGGTACCTTTTAGGTATCTCAACACATGTTTAGCTGCTATCCAGTGTTGTTCTTTTGGTTCGGCTAAATACCGTGACAGTTTACTGACAACCCAACATAGGTCCGGCCTTGTACATGTCATCACATATACCAGCCTGCCAACCACTTCTCTGTATTTTCTTACATCTATAAGTGCACCTTCTTCATCAAAGTACATGTTGTGTTCACATGGAGTTGATCTTGCCTTATAATCTGGCATGCCAAACTTCTCCAGTATTTTCACAATGCACCTGGTCGGTTTCGTGTTTATTTCACCTATTTCTTGTGTGAACTCAATGCCTAGAAATGTTTGAAGTTTTCCCATATTTTTCATCTTAAACCGTTCATTTAACATTTCTTTTACCTCATTGAGCATTTTTGTATCTTTCACTGCAATGATCAGATCGTCAACCCAAATTACCAAATAAACCCGTCCTAGATTTGTTTGTTTAGTATATAAACAGTGATCTGCTTAAGCCATTGTCACAAAGATGATCGTGCAGCACTGAGTTCCAGTTCCTTCCTGACTGTTTTAATCCATATAATGATTTATTCAGTTTACACACAAGTTTTTCACTTTTGTCTGATTTTAACTCAAAACCTTCAGGCTGGTCTTTAAAGATTTCACAATCAATGGGGGCGTGCAGGTAAGCACTTTTGACATCCATTTGGTGAACCTCCAAGCCATTTAGAACTGCTAGCTGCATTAAAGTGTGAACAGATGTCATGTCTGCAGTTGGAGGAAATGTTTCTTCGTAATTTACCCCAGCTACCTGACTGTAACCTTTCATAACATATCTAGCCTTATATGTCTCAGTCCCATCAGCATTTTCTTTGATAGCATCAACTCATCTTCCTCCTACAGTGGATTTACCCTCTGGCAAAGTGGTTAGTGTGAAGGTATCATTCTCGTTTAGTGATCTGACTTCTTCCTCCATGGCCTCAGCCCACCTTTTTGACATTGTCGAAGTAATGGCTTCTTTAAACATCAGTGGAACATCTGTAGCAATAATCAACATTAACCAGTTCCTCACTGTCTATTCGGGACACTTTATTTCCCTTTTAGGATAACGCCTGGTTTCCTGGCTATCCATCTGAGTGCTGGTTTCTAAACCTGAGGCTTCAATCTCTGTATCTGCCTCTTGTTTCATCTCAGGACTTTGTTCAACCATTGTACGTGTTAAAATGGGGGACACAACTCTCTTCCCATATTCATCAACCTCTCCACAAACAGTATGTGTCTGAGATGAACGGTCAGTCACAGTTTTAGTAATGAACCTCACTAGTCTATGTTTAAGTAGTACTTTACCAGTATCAGGGTAATACACCAGATATGATGGGCAATTTTTGTCATATCCAACAAATATCCCTTTCTTGCTCCTAGAATCTAGCTTTTTCTTGTTGTGCTTGTAAGCATGACAGGCAGATCCAAAGACTTTCATTTTTGACAGGTCAAGTCTTCTTCCGGTCAACAAGCAGTAAGGAGTTTGCCCTGTTCGTCGATTCAGACATCTATTCCGAATAACTTCTGCAGTCCTTACAGCATATGTCCACAGCTCTTTTGGTAGGTCACTTTCTAATAACAGACACCTCGCCATCTCAGATAAAGTCCTCCAGCTCCTCTCAGCTGTCCCATTTTGATGGGGTGAGTATGGTGCTGACGTTTCATGTCTTATAGCATTTCTGTTTAAAGGTGACTGGAATTCTGTGGAAGGGAATTCTGTACCACTATCAGATCTAAGACGTTTAATGTTCCCATAACAGGCAGTATCAGCAATAAACATCTCCCTAGCTTTTTCAGTATCATTTTTGGCTTTCAGAAATTATACCTGCACCTTGCACCTGAATAGTCATCTGTAAACGCTAATCCGTATTTAAACCCATCTTTGGCCTCTGGGTCTATGGGGCCAGCTAAATCCAAATGCACAATCTCAAGTGCTTCTTTGGCTCTTACATCAGGCTCCCTGTTCCTTGTCTGAGCAAAATTCCATTGTATGCAGACTTCACAGATATTATCTGTTTTATTGCTTTTCCCTTTTATTGTCATTCCTCAGGTTACACTCTCTAATTTCAGTAAATCATCATAATTACAGTGCCCGAGTATTTTATGCCATGTCTGGATTTCATAACATCCATAACTTTCATCGTTATTATTCTCATCAACAGTGTTCAGATAATAGAGTCTCCCGTATTCTTTGATTTCAAACCTGGTACCATCCTTGAGAATCAGCTGGCTGTTTCCCTCCTTGAAGTGGACCTCAGCGCCGTTGGTGGTCGCAGCCTTGACAGAGAAGATGCCCTGTAGAAATGTTGGGATGTAGAGCACCCTCTGCCGCGTCGATGACACAAGGCGGCCCTCGCTGTCCCGTAGGTTGACCACAGCTTCACCTCTCCTGAGTGCGATGCCACTTGTTCTCTTTCCATCAGCGAGCTCCATGGAGTGCTTCTCAGGCCGGAAGGTGTCATCCAAACTTTTGAACTTCTTTAAGTCGGTGATGATGTGGGATGTGGCCCCTGTATCTACCATCAGAACCCTCTCCTTAAAACCACGTTCAAGGCACTCGCTTATTTTGAAAACAAATGAACGTCTTTCTTCGTCAGCTACATGTTTCACATCATCTCTTTGTTTCCTTCTGCAGTTCGATTCTTAGTGAGTGCCACTCTGGCAGTAAGTGCACCACAATTTCTGCTGTTCTTCCTGCAGTCTACATTCACGTGCTTTGTGTCCCTTCTGACCTCAGTTATAACATCTTAGTCTCTCGAAGTATTTACTTTCTGGTGGCCTCAAAGATAGATCACCCATTTGCATTACAGTGTCGTCAGCGGGGCTGGTATTGAACCTCTCAGTGCTCTCGCTTAATGTTTCCCCTGCATTTTTCAGTGCAGTTATAGCAGTTTCTGCATGGATGATATAGTCTGTAACACTCTCGTAGTTAGCTTTCTGTAGTAGCGTTAGCTCAGTGTACAAGCTTATAACACGAGGTTTCCCTTTACCGGCGTAATGGTCCCTCAGGATTTGAAGCGCTTTTCTCCCGTTATCTGGGGCATTTCTCATTACAAGGGAAAGACTTTTGTCGTCCAAAAATTGAATCAATTCAGCGTAAGCTTCCTCATTTTTCCAAGCGTCGTCGTCAGCTTCCTCAGCGTCTGGTTCCAGTTCATGGATTATCATTTCCTTGAGTCCCCGTAGCCGTAGGTGGCCCAAAAACTTAGTTTCCCATAACTCATAGTTCTTTTCATCTCCGTCGAAATATAATCTTTGCCAGCGGTTTCCGTATTCAGTCCCGGGCCCATAACCTGTTAAGTTTTGCATCTTACAGACAGGATAACCGACGGCCCGGCTGTTTGTGATGCAGGAACAAATAAACACTGCGGTCTGGTTCAGCTCAGTAGAGGCATGCTGACACGAGCGTCACACACAGTGCTTCCTTTTATTGACACATGATTGGGTACCAAGACACATACACAGGTGTAAGAGCACACATAATCAGGACTGATTTGTAACAAAGATATTCTACAGCCTGCCCAAGCATGCATACCATTGCCAACAAGTTCATATTAGGAGTTGATTTATATTTGTTAGCAATTTTGCAGATGAGATTTTTTGAGAAAGCTACCTTGAGTAAAGCAAATTTACTTTGTCTCTCTCTCTTTCCCCAAAACACTCAAGAGGACAAGGGAAAGCAGTTTCAGAAATTTCCCAGGATCTCCTAAGATGGACCGTCAACCAACAATATAATCTGCATAAAACATTCGATTGCCTTTGAACATTTTCCCATTCCTGCCATTTAGATTATGTCACGTCTATCCATCGACTTGTTTACTGTGTCTGAGGCTTTTCTCAAATGATGGGATGTAAAACGAAGCACTCTAGCAACACAGCTAAACCCTGCAATCTGTTACTGTGGTCAGCGTCTGAGCAGTAGCGGCACAGGGAAAAAAGCAGAGAGGCTTGAGGGAAACTGAATGGATGATTGCCATGAGAATGTACATTTGGAGTGTGTGAAATAGTTGCGCACGCGGTTCCAGTTGCTCATCTCGAAGTATGATGGAAGCTTTTTGCTACCTGTCCAGGTATTACATCTAAACACTGTAGGGAAGCAATGTTGCTACTCATTGATTGTCAGCTTTGTATTTTTTGCAAGTTTTCATACCTTTGTGGGTAAAATTAGAATCCAAGAAGCCTAGAGAGATATTATATTTAATGAGAGCATAGCAACCTGTGTGGGACCCTGTATACATTTCTCATGTTATTATGTGTCTCACATTGTGTATTGCTTGCAGGTATAATTGGCTACGCCCCATACATTAACAGAATCGTTTCACAGTGGAACCTCCATGACAATGATGATGACCAGCTTTTCTACACCAAGATTTACTTGGACCCATCACAGCGAGTAAGTTTTCATGTGTCAATCTGGTTTTTGCCGCCTCTTTAGGACCTTTCTCGTTACAATCACCAAACTAGCTGTGACCAGTCATCTGTATTGGGACCAAAGCTTGGTCCTAGTTCAGAGGCAATTTTTAGTTCTAATTATTCTGACAACTCAACGTGTTTTACACTACAGGTCATATTCACCTATTTAGCGCACATATAGGGCTCAGTGTCTTGCTCAAGACCACTTTAGCATGTGGTAGGGAAGCCAAGATTGAACCACCAACCCTCCATTAAGCATGCTCTTCTCACACTGTACATGCATCTGGTAGTTTGTCCTAAATTTGAAGAGGTAGCAGCTGGCTATTTATCCTTCTCTGACATTATTGAGTGACAAACCCAGTGTTTCCCCTAGAATTTTTTCCAGCCATGGTGCTAGTTGACAGGGTGGTGGGGAAGGTAAAGCCAATGTAAGGGGACATTGAAAACCTCTTACTGCGGTGGTTGTGAGATTGTTGCATTTGGTCCACGCCGTGCTATTGGCGAAGGTTTTCAGACAAATGCAAGAGATTCTCTTCATCGTTTTTTTTTTTCATATATTTTTTTAATCTCCACAAGATATTTATAGCTATGTTTGAACATTGTTAAGAGTCATGAAAAAATGTCTTAAGCTAGCTTGTTTAACTAATTTAAAAAATGTTTACTTTAATAGAAAATAATTTTCTAAACCAATACACCTTATTCATTTTGAAATAAATATTTTTCCCTTTAGAAACATTAACAAATTCCTACAGGAGGGTCAACATTTTGTTCCTGCTGCTGATATCTAAGGTTGTTTCTCAATGTCAAGGCGTCTGGCCTTGCAAGGCGATGTCTTGCGAGGCCAGGCGCCTTGCTTACGAGGACACTGTCCTTCCTTGGTCAAAGAAAATGATTAAATGGAACAGAATACATCACGTGACCGCGGCTTCCACGGTGGTCACGTAACATCACGTGACACGGGAGATAACGTTATATTTTATACATATGTTTCAATATAAATATATAACGAGTCTTTTACTTTTAAATTGTGTATATATTGGTTAAATGAAATATGTAAGCAAGTTACTACCTGCTAGCCACGGAAGCTTCAACTACTAAGCAAACTAACCAACCATAGATAACTTCTTTGGATCTATAAAGCATGTTAGATTAGTTGACTTACATTTAAACTTGAAATTTGCTCCCGTTTGCCCCCAAGGCTAAGCTACAAGACACCTCCCATGTATCCTTGCTCAGCTAGCTAAACGGTTAACAAACGGAGAACACACGCCTCGGTAGAACATGAACATTGGAACACTCCTTGGCTGTTCCTGATGATGTATCTCCTAGGCAACTGGGGAGGTGACCAAGACATCAAGGCAAGGTTCCTTGGCATTGAGAAACACCCTAAGACTATAGTAGCCAAAGAATTCTATGTAAACTGATATGAAATGTTGAAGATTCCAGCCATTTTGAGATTATGCCAACCTTTTTGGGTCTTGGCTGCAATCGGACTTGGCTGTGTTGTACATCACCTCAGTTTCTATGAGTGGATCCCATTACTAAAGCTATCTTTTTATAAGTAAGACAGTAATTATTTATACGAACAAAAACAGTCTTCAAAACTGAATGACTGAGTGGAGGTGGAGGAAATTCACAGTTCTAAAAAGAAGGAAAATACAGATTTTTTGTGTGTGTTCATAGATTATTTGGATCGCTAAGCAAAATTTGTGCTGACATCTTACAGGAAACTCTCAATATGAGTTTGGACCACAAGTGCCAGATTTTCCAGAACCTGAACGGAGCTGTTGGTGAGAAATCAAAGAAAAATAAGTCTTTAATTTCATTTCCAGCTAATCTTCACATTTGAAGCTAATTATATGTGTGAGAAAAATGACACCTTTCAATAAGCTGCCAAAGCTGTTCTGACTTTAAATAAAAATTGTAACAGGACAGAACATGCAGTTTTGGCTTTTGGAAAACCAATACTTTTCAGGTTTTATAACCTGGCCTTGAATACCTTTGGCTCTCTTTTTTTGGCAGATGAGGTGCTGCTTAAGTTTGGAACAGACCGCGTAAGAGTTCGAAACACGATGTACGACTCTTTGCCAGTTGTTGTCCATGGTAACGGAAACACCAAAGTGAGTAATAAATAGGTGTTGTTTGCATATGGTAACGTTTGGCTACTGTTAAAATCAGTTGCATTATGTTTCGTTGCTGAAATGGGTTGATTTTAGAACTAATTTCACTTTGAACAATCAGACTCAGGGCAAAATATCAGAGTCCAATAGGTCAATTACCTCAACCATGCTCATTATACATTCAGGTCAAGGGTGTAATGCTCCTGATTGTGTTTTCTTTTAGCTTTTTGAAATTTTACTTTTACAACTCAAAACATTCACTCATTTACCAGGAAGCCACAGCTATCACTCTTTTGAAAATTTGGTCTGTTCTTTTCAATCATTTAACTCTCCAAAAGCGTTGTTCCATTATGAGCCACATGTGCAGTGACCCAAAACCACCAAACTGATGAGTCACTCTACCCAGAGGCTTAAACAGCTGGATGAGAGTCGTTAAGGCGTAGAGTCTATGACTTAGAACTAATTTCTACTATTTGAGTGACCTAGCTGGATGTCTGGCCATGTGTTTAATGGAATTTTCCATTTTATCATTCAAAGTTCAGTCTGGCGACTCAATCATGGTGTTGATGAGCTCAATAAGAGATTAGCAAACAGTAAGAAATGAGATATTCCCGTAAATGTCTAGAACTAAGTGAAAAAAGTTGATACACAACTGCAACATTTCAGTTTGTAAATGTGGCACAAGGCTGAAGTCTCAAATCAAACATACAAAAAGATGATTATTCACTTTGCTGATAGTTCTAGGCAATAATCTCAAGAGATTACAATGTGTGCATGTGTTCATTGAAGTTCATTATTTTTATTATGGGCTTAAGGGCAATGTGTTTAAACACATTATTAATGTTACAGAAACGGTTAACTTGGATTTATTACACCTAACTTCAAACAAGATGTTGGTAGCTTCATCTGAAAAAGATTTAGCAAACATACTTACCTTGTTGAGTAACAGTTGGCTACTTGGCCTTTATCCCTATATTCAAATCAGCTAAGATGAACCATCATTCCAAGATTAATCCAAAGATCTATGTCTTTGCATGAGTATGACTTTAAAAACTCAATCCATTAATCTAGAGAATGGCTGCAGAATATCTTAATGGAATTACAAATAACTGCAGAAACAAAAAGTTTGTAAAAACTGGGTCACTTACTTAGCACCCCTGAAAGGAATGTTTTGTACGTCATTGCATACCTAAAGCTCCTAGACGTGTCTAGTCTCACCCAAAACCAAAAACACACAATAAAGATCACTCCTGTTTTTGGTCCAACAAAATCAGCATTAACATTTTAACAAACAGTTAATTAAGGTTGTAAATTCCTTACAAATAGTGCATGTGCTTGATATCATTAAATATGTTGTCTAGTTTCTGTATCTAATTAAATTAAATCCAAATTCAAATTGATTGAAATGTCTTACAAGTTCATCATGAACACTAATTCAGTATGATTCCAGCTTATAATTTGCATAAATTCTCACAACTTTGCATTTCCAGTTAGATATTAAAGGTGTGGTTCACTGGAAACCCATTTCTTAATGATTGTTTCTGATTGGAATCTGTCATTCTGAGTTTTTCATGCAGGCTGAACATGAAACAGTCTCCTACATCTATCTCCTGCATTAGCTTCTGACTATGAAACACTAGGATTTGAACAGCCTGACAGATCTACATCACACTGTCTCAGAACCCAAAAGGGTTCAAATGAGGGCAACAGGACTTCTTTGGTTTGTTAAAGATGTTTCGCTTCTCATCCGAGGAGCTTTGTTAACTCTAACTGGAATATGGGAGAGTCAAGCTTATAAAGCCTGACACACATGAGAGCAAACTGCTGAGCAAACGGTCTCGAATGACCGTTTGCTCAGCAGTTTGCTCTCTGTGTGTGCCTGATTTTCACTGTTTTCCACCTCACGAGATGCTGAGGTGAATATCTGACCGGTTTGATATTTTCCGCCTCACGGGGGGTAAAAACTCTGTGTGTGCACTGCGTGACCTGCAAGCTAAGCTGAAATATTCTAGTGGCCAAACAAAGCACGTTCTTCACTCACATGACTCCAAAGCCCTTTTCAGATAGACATTTTGGAACATTTGTGGACAATTCAATTCAGTTTTTAACCGGAACTGTGTTTTCAGACACACCACTTTTGTACCGGAACTTGTTCTTTCGGCTGCGTTCACACAGCAGGAAAAAGTTCCAGATGTCTGACGGCGGCGGGGGGGTGGGGGGAGAATCGGACTCATGTTAAGAAGAAGAAGAAGAAGAAAATATCATTTCCATAGCGCCTCTCAAGATAAAAATCACGAGGCGCTTAAGCATAATTCTGCGCACACGAAGACGCATAAGAGACCTGGATGATGAAGCTCAATGGTTAAAGGAATCACTGAAGCGGTGTGAAGCACTTCATGGCGCATCTAGACGGTACCGTAGGAGGCGAGCTGCCGTGGTTCGCCGCATGCTACAGCAGCGGGCTATCTAGGTGTGCACAGCGTCCCCCGGTCCCCTCCTCCTCCCCCTCCCCCTTGTCCGGAACTCTACCTCACCAGTCTGAAGCAGCCACCATGTCCGTAACAAGTCCGGACCTGTTACTAGGGGCTTCGTCCGGATAAATTCCGGAACACGTTATCCGGATGTTTGTATTCAGACACAAAGGTCTTACGGACAGATTCCGGAACATTTCCGTTTTTCATGGCCTGTCTGAAGGGGGCTCAAGATGTATTCAGATGCAGCCCCCTGCCCTGTCTGCATGTCAGAAAAATAAACAAAACAATACCTTGCGGATCGATGGGCCCACTGTTTCCACTACCCTCTCGAATGATTCAAGATCCAGGTGGCGGTACTGTCGGAAGGATTCTGGGTTTTCAAGTTGCATCTCTTGGAGTAGATTGGCATGAACTCCTTGCCTGGCCCTTCTTTCCAGCCACCGTACCCATACTTTCTTAACCTTGAAATGACAGTGGCGGCGACGCCTCATCAACCAAAAAAGTAGAGGTATTTTCTCCGTTTCCAGCTCTGTCTTGTTTATTTTCTGACATGCAGACACGGGGCTGCCATCTTGGGGTCATGTGAGCATTATTGCTGATTCTGTGGCAGTGATGAAGTCCACTGTGGGGATGTGTTGTGGAGAACTGGTAAAAAAAAAAAAGACAAAACTGACTTCAGACCAGATCTGTACCCTCCTGGACCTCTCCCTTTCTACACATGGTTCAAAATTCTCACGACGGAAGTAGAAAACTTTACCAAGCACATTAATGCCGTGGATAAGAACATCAAGTTCACCAGGGTAGATGCACACAACAACCAACTGCACTTCTTAGACTGTGCTGTGCAAATTGAAGAAGATGGATGTCTCAGCATTGAAGTCTACAGAAAACTGACTCACACAGACCAGTATTTGCATTTTGACTCACATCCCCCACTGGAGCACTAAATGTCAGTAATCAGGACTTTACACCATCGAGCCGAGAACATTCCCACAAAGACTGAAGGAAAACAAAAGAAAGATAAACACATCAAGAAAACTCTCCAAAACTGCAGATGCCCTAACTGGGCCTTTGTGAAATCTACAAAGAAGTCTGGAAAAGCATCCATAGCAGCAACCAGCAAACAAAAGGCAACAGGCGCAAAGGCACCGTCATCCCATATGTGGCAGGAGTCTCAGAGAAACATAGAAGAATCTTCTCCAAACACAACATCCCGGTAAACTTTAAAGCCAACAACACCTTCAGACTGAAAATGGTCCATCCAAAAGACAAAACACCCAAACAGAAGCTTAGTGGCGTCGTTTATGCAGTCCAGTGTGGTGACGACTGTCCAGATCTTTACATTGGGGAAACTAAACAATTACACAAGTGCATGGCACAACACAGGAGAGCCACCTCTTCAGATCAAGACTCTGCAGTCCACCTACACCTGAAGGACAAGGACACACCTTTGAAGATGACAAAGTACACATTCGGGACAGAGAAGATAGATGGTTTGAGAGAGGAGTAAAATAAGCTATCAATGTCAAACATGAAAACTCCACTTTAAATAGGGGAGGGGGAGGCGGGGGGTGGGGGTGGGGGTGGGGCTTAGATTTCACCTTTTCAGTACCTACAATGCAGCTTTGAATCTCATTCCTAAGCAGTTTCAGTCTAGGCCACACCTTCCTGCATCTAATCAACACGACTCCCTCTCAATAGAGGCTAACGACTCATCAGGGGCTAGAGAGGAGGGGTACTCAGAGTAGTTTCTGCTCGTTAAATAACAATAAACAGCTACAGCTTATAAGCTTGACTCCCATATTCCAGTTAGAATTTACAAAACTCCTCAGATGAGAAGCGAAAAGTCTTCAAGAAACCAAAGAAGTCCAGTTGCCTTCATTTGAACCCTTTTGGAGCATGACCTGGATGACTGAGAACCTTCACCAGCATACTGTCTCTGAATGTTCATGGACTCACCCGTCTTGACTCGGCATGGGGAAGGCTGTTGTTGGTTTAGAGTCCAGGAATCAGCAGAGAACATCCCAACTAGTAAAAGCTAACCATTAGTATTAGCAACTCCACCACACGACAGAAGCTCCTCCATGCTTGTGCTATTGGTGGAGGTAAAACATCCAAGTTGCAAGTCAGTGGTAGAGTCATGTTGCTGTTATTCAGTGTGTAAATACCAGGAAACAAGACTCCAAAATCTGCTGTTTACAGCTAATTTGTGATGTGGGTCACTGCTGAAAAAGGTGCACCAGTATATTGCCCCCTCTATAAGTGAATCATATGAAGGATTCATTCACTTAATTAAAATGTCATCCCTTCACAGATATACTTGAACTACTTGGGTAACTATGTGCCCAACGCATGGAACTATGAACATGGCTGTGGCCATTGCGATGATGATTTTCTGGACCTGTCTCAGTTACAAGTAAGTCCATTTTGTTTATGATCATATTTCCATCTGCTTGCCATGCTTGTTCTTTTTAAAAACAGACTAATGCGGAATGTTTGTCCTTAGCCTCAGTTGTTGTGAACCTTGGAAAGAACGGATCACTTTCTGTTCTATCAGTCTAGACTGTGGAAGTGAAGCCACATTAGTCTTGTTTTTCAGAGATAACCAAGACCATTGGTGCTGCACATTCCCTTTCCAGCAATTATAGGTTCATCCTTTTAGGCCCTTTTTAACAAGCATGAGTCTGAGGTAGAACACTCAAGGAAAAGGGAAGCATTGCTGTGGTACAGGATATGGGTTCTGAGGTTTTCAGAAGGGTTTATTTAAAGGGGTGACCAGCCTGCCTTTTGGTGCGCTCCTCTGCATGGCTTTTTTCCCACTACAGTGAGTTATAGTGGTTGTGCTGAAAATTTGTCATTCGAGCCAAGGCTGAAGTCAGGCAAGCCGGGCGAGACTGGCAGGCTTTAGGAAATGTCTCTGACTGTGTAGTTACAGCTGTTATGAATGTCACCAAACTTCTTTCCCTTTTTTTTGGGAACTGAAAAAAGAGTGCAACACATCTGTCTCCACAAGTCATGAATATTGAGTTTTAAGACACCAATATTAAAAATTCATTGAAAGTTCCAATTGCTCCAGCATTCTAATGAGCTGATTCAGTACAAACTCAGTTAGATGAAAAGTTATCTCTTTGACCTCTTGCAGAAAACATAAAGGGCAAGTCAGAGAAAGTACGATTCCACATTGTTGCTTCTGTTTATTTAAGAGACTTCTGGAAGGGGTGGAAACACTGGAAACACTGTTTCAGGGGTGAACTCAGTTCACAGGCAGCCCTATGTGGCTCTTTGTGCCCTTCAGCTCTGAACTTTTGACACTCCAAGTGTCGCACCACTAGCAGACAAGTTCTGTGCCAGATAGACGACTTCACAACCTGTTGTAGTTTTGTCGGCACGTCGAATGAAAACATGGGTGTTTCTCCTTTCTGCCATTGTAAAGCTTTACTTTAATGTTTTAGTGCCACCTTCACCACTTCATTTGTCTGCCAGCAGACACGCAGACAAATGAAGGTTCCCTTCAAGCCAAAAGCAGTCATTGCGGAACTTGCAAATTAGATGGTTCTGCTGGGATTGCTTTTCATCGCCAGCCCAGACCTTCACTGGGAACTGGTCAAGAGGATCAAGAGTCCAGACTGGTGTGTGCGGGCTGTAGCTGAGCGCCATGGGAACGTTTTCTCCTTCTGTTCGTTTCTCTGTAGGTCTTATGGTGTCTCAGGTTTCATTTAAAGCAAATGATGCACTGGTTCACCTAAACTGAGAAATACAAAAGCATAACTTAGTGTAGATTCAATACATTTAGCAGGGCAGTGTGTAAATAACCAGTTAACGTGAAACCATCTGTAGCAGCTTCACAGTTTATTTGTAGGAGAACTGAAGTGTAAATATCATTATGATCATGATTTATGTTAAATTCAGCATTTCTGTGGCCAGATGTTTGAAATACAAATCATTTGCCTTCCTCTAATCTAAACAGGAGTATCCGAATGTGTTGGTGGGAGTTTTCATTGAGCAGCCAACTCCATTTCTGCCTGAATTCTTCCAGCGACTGCTCGCCCTGGATTATCCCAAAGATAAACTGAAACTTTTTGTTCATAACAACGTGAGTGCATCCAGCTGTTCTTGGTGCTTTTTTTTTACATCTCTGTGATGCATGACTCATCTTGATCCATTAATGTGTGCTTCTTGTTCAGGAGGTTTACCACGAGAAGCACATCCAGAGGTTCTGGGAAGAGAACAGGAACGTGTTCAACAGTTTTAAGGTTGTGGGACCAGAGGAAAACCTGAGTCAAGGAGAGGCAAGAAACATGGGAATGTATGTGAGCTCGTTATGAGTCGGTTATTTATGAAGCTGATGATGACTAATCATTGTGCCATGGTCAGATGTTTGCATTAATTACATTAGTATTGATTTAAACAAAGTTTGTGGCTATAGTGTCGGATATTTGTATGATGTAATGAAAAAAAAATTCATGAGCATTTCACAAATTTAAAGAGCATTTGTCGACAGTTACCTTAAGTGTACACAAATATGCAATATTTGCAGTGTTGACCATTTTTTACAAAGATTTCTGCAAGTTGCCTTAGCATACTTTCAATCACGTCGTGACCAATTGCACTCATTCTTGCATTACCGGCTACTTTACATGTCAGGATGCGGTTTGTTGTGCTACTTCAAAAAATAATACTTCACTAACAACTTTAAAACAGTTATTTGAAATACATTTACATTCATTGCTGCTTTGTCTAAAACATTCCGAGCATCAACTAATTGTCCTAAAATGAACGACTTTCATTTGAAAATACATATTTTCAGAAAAGGCACTCAAGCCTTTTCACAGTTCACCCAAGTCTGCATTGGTGTGGACTTGGGTGAAGTGTGGATCAAGGGTGCAAAAGGGGGATGATCAACTTCTGCACTTGAGAATCGGGACACCCTACGCACTCGCACTCCTGCCTGGGATCGCACAATTGAAGGGTGCAAGTGTGGAAGTGCGAGTATTGGGATTGAGCCATTGTGTTCCTCTTGGAGGATGGTTAGGGTTAGGGTTGGGGTTGGGGTTTGGGTTTTTTAAGATTCCACATTTGTGTTTGTGTTCTGAAGTTAATTCCATTCCCTTGGCTTAGACAGCCCCACACATCAACGCTTTGTTAGATTACTGTAGAACTCACCTTTTCTTCTATGGCCAATCCTATCAAAAGAGGCTTAATCAGAAAAATTACTTTAATCCAGTCCTTAACAACCTATACCATGGACCTGATTTATCCGGGAATCACGTGTGTTGGAGCAGGAAAGCAACTAAAACAGGCTGGATAGCAGCCCTCGAGGACCAGGATTGCCCACCCCTGGTATAGATGAACAAATATTTGTAAAATATGCCCTAAAAGCATGTCTACCCACAGCTGTGAAAATAAAATAGCCTAAAAGTAAAAAAAAAATAAAAAAAACTCTTTCTTTGTCAAAACCAGTCCTATATGAACCACAGTTCCAAGAAAATCACAAAGGCAGAAGACGAAGTGCAAAAAAAAAATATATATATATATATATGATTCACTAACAAAGTGATGTGAGTCTTATTGCTTCGTTATTTACACTCACATGCTAGACTGACTGAAGTCTCACACAGTACTTTTTGTATTTTTGTGGAATTGTGAAGTAATAAAATATAAGGGGAAAACTCCATCCACCACTCCCAGTAACACCATCATGCAAGTCAGAGTATATAAGTTCTTCATTCCACTGATTTGATGTGTCAAATACTCCCACCCCTCTCCTCCCTCGTCACCTCTACTATCTTTGTCTTCCAGTAGTATGCTGGGTTAGGGGGACAGGATGGGGGGGTTAAGGCTTGTCCGGTTTACCCAGAAAGCTGCCTTGAACTCCAGCCAATCAACAATTTGTTTTCCATCTTGACCTTTCAAAAAGGCATGGTCTGCATCAAAAAACAGCTTTTAATTAATGGTTTCTTCTAACTTGTGAAAGCAAGAACTTGTGAAAGTTACAACTTAGCTAACATTTATTTACAGCGGAGCAGAAATTGGCAGCAGACTCCAGGATTTGGATTCTTATTTCCAGTTACTCAGAGATTTCGCCTCTGATTGACTAACAGCCATGCAACTCTAGAATGCACTCCAATTGCTCTGCAACGTTGTTGTTTTATCTCCACAAATAGTACAAGCCTGAAGGAGTTCTGCTGTGTGGTGGAGTAGCTAATGCTAACAGTTAGCTTCTAATAGCCAAGAAGTTCTCTGCTGTTTCTTTGATGCTAAACCAACAACAGCCTTCCGTCTGTGAGTCAAGATGGGTGAGTCCATGAATGTTAGTGACAGTGTGACGTAAATATGTCAGGCTTTTCTGAACCAAGTGTTGGTCCGACTATTTTCTATCAGTGGCTAATGCAGGAAATAGGGATAGAAGACTGCTTTCATGTGGAGTATGCATGTTAATCTCAGGGTGGCTGATCATTTTCAAAAAATAAGAAGCAAACAATGGTTTGTGAACATTCTGTTTAAGAATGATTGCAGAAAAACAAGATTTGATGAATAGATTTTTTTACCCAAGAAATAAGAGTGGATCGGAAGCAGCGGAAGAGTTGCATTTCTGTTGGCCAATTAGAGACAAGATGTCCACATATCATGAATATAAATTACATAAGACTTCAAATAATTTCGGGCCTCCCATTCTGTTGACAAACTTCCTGAAACTGGAGCACCAGAACATTTTTCCCCACTGAAAACCACACAAGGCATTCATACATACTAGAGACCACAGCAGATTTATTGAAATAACAAGTAAATGCCAATTTTAAAACCTATAAATGTTTTTTGAAGGTAAAAAAGTTATTTTAAGTTTAGACATAAAATTATATTTTGCGTCTTGTTAATCAGAATCAGAAATATTTTATTGCCATATGTGTGAGAATCACAACATTATGAAATTGCTGCGGTACTTGATGCAGGAAAAAGTAAATAAGCAAAAATTAGAATTAAGAAATAAGCACAATGAAATGATAATAATACAGGGATGCAATAATTCAATCAATCAATCAATCAATCAATCAATCAATCAATCAATCAATCAAAGCTTTATTTATAAAGCGCCTTCCGCAACCCTGTCAGGAAGCCCAAGGCGCTGAGAAGCGGCTACTTTATACAAGCCAGTGTAGGTACTGGTCAGAGCGGATCAGTTCAGGGGCAAACACAACACTAGGGTCATGTGACTGAAACAAAGGAACTGGAATGGGCAGTTCTATGACTGACATTCATGAGTCCGACAGCAGAGGGTAAGAAGCTGTTCTTGTGGTGAGAAGTTCTAGTCCAAATGGATCTGAGCCTCCTGCCGGATGGGAGCAAGTCAAAGAAGAAGAAGAAGAAGAAAATATCATTTCTATAGCACCTCTCAAGATAAAAATCACGAGGCGCTTCACAAAAACAAAAACAAAAAATATAAAAAAATTGTAAAAATATAAAAAAACATTTCGAAAATGTTTAAAAATATTTTTAAAATGAGCAAGAATAAGCAATTGTGATTTTAAAGAAAAAATGTTAAGAAAGAGAGAGAGTGAATAGGAAAGAGGGAAATCAGTGGATCCTGAGGAAGGTGGAATAGGTGGGGAGAGCAGAATAAAGAGAGAGTGGTGAAGAAGGTCATACAGAAGCCAGCTTGAACAAGTGAGTCGTCAGCTGCTTTTTAAAGGAGACCACTGAGTCCACTGATCAGGTGGAGAGAGTTCCAGAGTCTGGGGGCCACAGCAGCAAATGATCTGTCACCTTTGGTCTTTAGCCTGGTGCTGCACAACCAGTAGGCTTTGATCACTGGACCTCAGGGACCTGCTGGGGGTGTAGGGACTAAGAAGATGACCAATGTAAGATGGTGCTTGTCCATGTAAGGCCCTATAGACCAGAACCAGGATCTTGAAATGAACCCTGAAGTTGACTGGCAGCCAGTGAAGCTGGAGGAGAAGCGGGGTGATGTGGGTGTGTTTGGAGGACTTGGTCAGAAGCCGAGCACAGGCATTCTGAACCACCTGTAGACGGTTCAGGGAGGCTCTGCTCAGACACGTGAAAAAGAGACTATGTCCGGGGTGACACGGTTCAGCTGTTATCTGACCTGCACGCCTCAATGTCCTGGAGGTGTACAGGTCCTGTATGGAGGGGAGTTTGCAGCCAATGACCTCAGCAGAGTGCACAACACATTCCAGCTTCTTTTTGTCCCTGGTGGTAGCTTCAACGTACCACACAGTGATTGAAGAGGTGAGGATGGACTCGATGATTGCGGTGTACAACTGCCTCATCGACTGTGCTGATAGGTTGAATTTATTCAGCTGCCTGAGAAAGTACATCCACTGCATTTAGCACCAGGTTGTTGTGGCTGCACAAAGCTAATAAATTTAGACATGCACATATTTCTCTTACATTCATTATAATTTGTCACTTATGTGTTTTTCATTTTCAGGGATCTTTGTCGTAAGGATGCCTCATGCGACTACTACTTCAGCATAGATTCGGACGTCATGCTCACCAACCGACAAACAGTGAAGCTCCTCATTGAGCAAAACAGGTAAGCTAACAATGACTGAAACAAAAGCCACACTGAAGTCGATTCTACAAGCTGCCTCGGTAGCTGTCTTGATCATCAAAGCGTTGAGTTTATCCCTCGAGGGAAGAAACCACAGGAACTTTACAATCCGAGTAAATTAAAGTTTTAAAATACTTCTAGCTGCATGGAAATGCTGAAAGAGATGGTTGCACTAACCCTGAAATGTCTCTTAGCATTACACAAAAAACAAACATGCAAACCCTTTTATTCTTCTTTGCAGCTCAGGATTGGGAAGAACACTCCCATAAACTGGATGTCACTGTGGCTTTAGCAGTGGAATTGTAAATGACCGGGGGCATGCAAGGCAAAGTGACTTTCTAGGATATTTAAAGGCAGCATGAGAATTCTCTGCTGGCACGGGGTTCCGTGGGAGAAACCCAAGACGTGGTCTACAAGAGTCATATAGTGCATTCATTTGCATGAATGCTAACCCAGACTTTGATTTATATTGAAATGATTTTAGGTTTATGTTTTTTTTATTTTATTTTATTTTTATTTTTTGCTTCTTTAAATAGATATTAGTTGGAAACTGTATTGAATGAAAATTGAAATAAATAAAATGAATTTGGCTGTTTGGAAAAAGCCCATAATTATTGGCATTCAGAACAGATCTGGGTTGCATTATGCATGACCATGGTCTGTTACTGTCCTGGCACTGCTTCGTCCCAATTTGAGGTCAGTCTTTTCAGAAGCAGTACAATGGTTTTACCACTAAGAGAAGTAGAACATTAAGCTGGCTTTGATACTTCCCTGAGTTTTATCTGCTCTGACAGAAACACCCTCTCTTTCCACCCTGTCTCCTGCTTCCTTGCAGAAAAATAATTGGTCCCCTCGTCACCCGTCACAGCAAGCTGTGGTCCAACTTCTGGGGAGCCTTGAGTCTGGACGGTTATTATGCACGCTCTGAGGATTATGTTGACATTGTGCAAAGAAAACGAGTGTAAGTCACAAACAGATCCGGCAAGGATTCTCACCTGTGTGTATTCTTGTCTCATTTTCCTAAAAATGTCCTCATCCATTAAATTACATTATATTTGACATTTATTTTAAGTTTTATTCTAGAATGCACACTTGACGAGCCAACACACAATTCAACTTGAGAAGTAATTTCATGCACTGCAAGAAAGTATTGGGTGTGAAAGTTAATCTAGTCAAGTTTGACATTTCTGAGAGTACATGAAAATAATTTTGCACTGGGTCAGAATGTTGGTTTGGAACTAACACTTCCAGCACACGGCATCACACAGCCATGGTCTGGCATGCAAAAGGATAAATTACATCAAACAAAAACTCTCCTTTTTACCACACAGTGCTTCAACAGTCTCTCATAATTCTGAAATCCTAAATCCTGACAGGATAGTATTGACTTCTTGAAGGGAAAATCTCAACAAAAAATGACCCTTTATCTTTGTTTTGTTATCTCAAGGGGTGTGTGGAACATTCCTTTCATGGCACATGTATACCTCATCAAGGGCAGCGTCTTAAGGAATGAGCTGAAAGAAAGGAACTACTTTGTTCTGGAGAAACTCGACCCAGACATGGCTCTGTGTAGGAATGCCAGGGAAATGGTAAGAAAAGACAACATTTAGTTTCAGATTTTCAAACATGTTGCAAAAGGACATTATTTAGGGCACCTTCAACCTGCTACACTTGATCTGTTAGACCATTGTCAATTTTTGAAAACATCCTTAAGTGTCCTTTTCAAACAGGATTTTTCCCTGCAATCTTTTGTATTTCTGGGATGCTCTCCTGCATCTTCAGCATGTTCCCATGACGATCCTACTTTATATGCCCAAGACACTCCTCATCCTGGCATGACTATCTCAGATCAAGATACATCTATGCCCTAGAATATCACACCATGTTACTACATTGCATTATGGAAAAATACCAAGGCTGCACCTTGTCTAGATCACACGGAAAGCTATACAATCTGAATAAAAGCATGTATGTAGAACTTTCGCACACAAAAACCTTTAGACTTTGCAAAGGCCATTCACATTTGGGTTAATTACTTTTGTTTGTAGCAAAGTCTATGAAAAGGGACCCTTACATACAAAAATGACCCACCATAGCAAGATGACAGCTGCTATAAACCCTACTCTTGACAAAAGTCAACAGTTCAGTGGAAAATAAAGACAGGAGAATATGAGTGTTTTGTAATTTCTTTGTCTGCCATTGAAGTGTGACCCTCCCTCTGTTCATAGTTGGTCTAGAGTGCATTAAGGTTTTTCGCTCCACTTGTATTCTATCATCCTTCACTCTCTGTCACCTTGAACCACCGTGACCTCAGACAGTTGCAATGCCCGACTTGTCAGCTGACATTTGTCTCCACTAAATGTTTCAACCTATGAACGTTCATTCATGTGTGTCACCTTCATGTCGCTTCTTTTCACCACTCCGCATGCATTCCTTCCCAATACTAACCCACAAAAACATCAGCTTCAGAGGGAATCTTGCTTCTGTTATTCCCATGCAGACACATTTCTGTTCCACCTAAGTTCTGATATGTGACATGTATTTCAACTGTCACTCTGTCTTTTATTCCCAAATTATGTAATTTATATATTTACATGCTGCTTTTCCTTTATTATAGACCAGTCACAGAGAAAAAGACTCCCCTTCTCCGGAATCATTCCATATGCTCAGGCCCCCAAAGGTCTACATTTATCTTGATATTCATTTTTTTACTTTTGGAAACATCCATTTCCAATGGCAGGGCCATTAGATATTACTGTGTTTTGTTTCATTTCATAGAAAAAAACCTCATTTTTACTTCCAACCCTCCCACTGACTTTAAGGGTGATCCCACGAAGAAAGTTGACCATTGAGCAGGATTGATGGTTTATCCCTTGAGGTCTATGTGGCAGGGATGAGTTGGTGCTCACACCTCACCCCTGCCACATGGACCCAAGGGATAAACCATCAACCCTGCTCAATGGTCAGCTTTCCTCACGGGGTCACACCCATTAGGACAGTGAGAGGGTTAAAGATTTTTTTAGCAGCACTTCAATTCTGTTTGGTGTTGATTAGGTTTTGGATAAAAGTTGTGTTTTCTATCTACATGGTAGCACCCATTGGAAATGGGGCTTGTGATCACACATGATTACACAGTGCATGCTGGGATGTGGCAGCCATGCTGATTACCTCAAGAGCGTAAACAAACCATGAAAACAAATGGCAGAAAAGCAGATTTGGGGGGAAAGAAAAGGTTAAACAACATGTTAAAATCCCCAAAAGGATGTAGAATATACAGGGATACATTAAATAGGGAACCCAGAGACAAGTATATGGACTAAACCAGCATTATAAATGGTTTGGATCTAAAAGACTCAACACTGAAGTACCTATGATAACTTGTTGCTGCAGTTTTGCATAACGAACATTTCTATATTGTTGGAGGTTTGAGCGATTGTAAACATCTGGATGAGAGGTAAACATTTCTTTTGCTGGTTATTCTAGTAAAACAATCAAAACTGTCTGTCACAGTCAGACCTAGTGACGATCATCCGGATTCAACAACAGCCAAACACAGAGAAAGTTTTAAAGAGTTTATTTAAGGACTTGTTAAAGCGATCGGGACCAGCTGGAGTCAGTTCCGGGTGGCGTGGCCTGGGAGACAGAGAACAGTCAGCGAGGGAGATGATTCAGATGTCTTAATCTAAAGAGTAACTGACCTTCTGAAAACAGCAGTGGTGTTCAGCGGTGAGGGATGCCAATGAAGTTGAGTGCTCAGATTCAGGCTGGAACTGCGGCAATAGACGGGTTCCGTGGTCAGACCGACTGTCGGGCAACAGGCAGGCAGACAGGCTCCGTGGTCAGGCAGGCAGAGATCAATAATAAACAGGCAGGCAGACAGGTTCCGTGGTCAGGCAGGCAGAGATCAATAATAATCAGGCAGGCAGACAGGTTCTGTGGTCAGGCAGCCAGAGATCAATAATAAACAGGCAGACAGGTTCCGTGGTCAGGCAGGCAGAGATCAATAATAAACAGGCAGGCAGACAGGTTCTGTGGTCAGGCAGCCAGAGATCAATAATAAACAGGCAGACAGGTTCCGTGGTCAGGCAGGCAGAGATCAATAATAATCAGGCAGACAGGTTCTGTGGTCAGGCAGGCAGAGATCAATAATAAACAGGCAGGCAGGTTCTGTGGTCAGGCAGGCAGAGATCAATAATAAACAGGCAGGCAGGTTCTGTGGTCAGGCAGCCAGAGATCAATAATAAACAGGCAGGCAGACAGGTTAAAACGCTTGAAGGACTGTGACAGGGCAGCAGACGATCTCGCACTGAGCAGCAGGAGCCAGGTGCTTAAATAGGGAGCAGCACAGGTGGAATTAATCAGCTAGATTACTGCTGCTGCTGGGAGACAGGAAAACACAGAGATCAGGGCATGATCATGACACCGTCATCCCAAAAAAAGAAACATAGCAGAAGAAGTTGTGTTGTGTTTCAGTGCACCTGCATTAGCCTGGGGCGTATGTGTGTTGGTATGCATGTCCGAGTTGAACGAAAGAAATGATGTATAAAAAAACACGTATCATCTGTATTTTACCAGAATGGAAATGAAAGAATACTGTCTCATCAAGACCGGGATACTCTGGAAGGTGATGTTTGGGTTAGGGTTAGGGTTAGGGTTTATCCAAGCGAGCCGATGAGACTTTTTATGTCATTTACTTGGTCTCCATGGCTACGCCTCCAAGCAGTGAAAAGTTTGCCCATTTTTCACCTTTTTTCACTTGCAATCATGTTGCACCCCACAACACAGCTACGATTTACTATCACTAAAGCCGGGCTTACATTGTATGACTTTTTCACTTATTTGTGCAAAAGTTCCGGGGATAGTTTTGCGCTGAGCGTCGTGTAGTATAAAGGGGCTACGAGAGGCGATTAACTCCATGTGACCTGTTACCGATCAACAATCATAAGCTTGCATGAATTTCTGGCATGTTTGATATTTTGCTTGTCCCTCGGGTATCGCACTGTTAAAGCGGCGTTGCAAGTGGCTACGACCCAAAAAGTACCAGAACCACTCACGGCGCATGTGCAAACATGCGTCAACACGGCTCGCCAGCTATATCCCATTAACGCACATCTGTCATTCATATTGATACACTTATTTTTTGCACACAATGACAAGGATTTTAAAGAAAGCGTGTTAATGTCAAATTAAACTGTTAAAAACATTGAATTTACCGTCTTTCGTCTTCCTCCTCCAACCCCCATAATTCCCTCTGTGTCCTCCAATAGGACTCCCGAAGAACATCAGACATAAACAACAACACAAAATAAGTCTGGCGTGTTGTGTAAAAATGGCTATTTTTAGCATATTTTTAGGTCCGACGTGTTGCTACCAGACGTACAGTGTGAGAAGTCAAGTTGCATCCGAGAACTGGGTCGTATTGTGTGAGCACATGACTCGTGAGATTTGCTCTGCAGGGAAGTTGTACAGTTTGAGCTGAAGCTGAATGCTACGAGTGAAAAAGTCGCACAGTGTCCGCCTGGCTTAAGTAATAACCAGTCAAATGTATAATAGATTAAATGAAGCCTCAAGACTGAGCGCACTGTTGCCTGAAGTGACAAGAAACAAGTAACAAGGCTTCCAGCATGGCGGCTGTGTCGGTGATGACATGATCACAAGCCCTATTGAGTGTTAAAACATAAGTGCTGTCTATGTAAATGTGTAAAAAAACTAGAATGGTTGGCGACTCATTGGAAATTGATGTTGACCTTTGTTCTTGTGATAAATTTACATTTAAAGCAGATTTGTCTCTGGTATGAGGTCAAAATAAAGGATTGTCCATTGAGATATTTTTATTTATCACCCTCATAACAAAATTCCTAACAAAGGTAAAGAATGCATCTTCGTGCAAGACCCTGGTCCTGATGCTTTGAACAGCTAAACCTCACAGTTAAAACACATTACCCCCTCCCCCCACTGTCTCTTCTCAGACTGGGCTCATTGCAGCACATCTGTTCTAAATTAGTTTTTACTAGATCATTTCAGATATTAACGATTTGGAGTTGCACCACCCAATTGCCAAATTATTTCATAATGGATGACTATTGCGATGATTAAAGCCCAGCTTGATAGAGTCCAGATCCACTCCTATACAGCATCCACCTTGTGCTTTATTATAGATAGAATATCTTTTCTAGACCTGCTTTGTCCCAAGTTCTTGTTCCTGCCTCTCCGCTTCGTCAACACCGGGGCAAGTCATAGAACACCGACTATAAATAATCTCAGATTATTTATGTGCAAAATTTGTGTTTAAACTCGAATTTAAGCATGTTTTAAACACCGAGATCCATTTTATTCTCACTGTATGACATTTTAATCAAAGAATGAAAATCTCTGCATGTCTTATGTAATTATTTTAGAATGTACCATTTATAGTGCTCATCTTTCACTTATATGAAACTAAAATAACCTTTTTCTGTTGCTACAGGGAGTTTTCATGTATTTAACTAACCGTCACGACTTTGGGAGGCTCATTTCCACAGCCAGTTATAACATATCTCATTACAACAACGACTTATGGCAGATTTTTGAAAATCCTGTGGTAAGTCATTAGGATCCTATTATTTTCCAGCTACATACAATCTTTTAAATCATGATTTTTTATTTCCAAGATAAACAAAAGCCACCTGTGAAATAATTTGACATAATGAAAGGATATGAAGCAGTACTGACATTTCACTTGGACGTGTTATGTGAGAAACAGGATTAGCTCAGTGAGATATGCAAAAAAGAGCCAACTTATCTGAAAATCTTTCTACTTGCAGGACTGGAAGGAGAAATATATCCACCAAAACTACACCCAGATTTTCACCGAGAACTACTTGGAAGAGGTTTGCACTGATATTTTTATCTGCAGGATGCAAAGTCAGTCTAGAAGAAAAAAGGGAAAAAGAGTGACGTAATGTCATTTGGAAGTCTGAAACATCTGGTTTTAACATGTCTGGGTGTAACATTACAGTAACTACAACTCCAGGTGAGAGTGATCGGGCCTGTTCTCAGTGGATACTTTACATGTTGTGTGTGTGTGTGTGTGTGTGTGTGTGTGTGTGTGTGTGTGTGTGTGTGTGTGTGTGTGTGTGTGTGTGTGTGTGTGTGTGTGTGTGTGTGTGTGTGTGTGTTGCAGCCCTGTCCAGATGTGTTCTGGTTCCCGGTATTCTCAGAGAAGGCCTGTGATGAAATAGTTGAGGAGATGGAGCATTATGGTTCATGGTCGGGAGGCAAACACGAGGTCAGTACATTTAGACTGAACAAAGATATGATTAAAAAAAAATTTCTGTGATTGATTCTTCAGTTAGGTTTTTTCACAAAAAGGTGTTACAGGTGGTTCACTGAGAAACGTGTAATACTTGTTTCTTTTTCAAATGCGATTGATCACGCCAAGTTTCACACACGCTGACTGTGAAAATAGTCTTTAACCCCCATTGCTGGAATAAAAAAGCTTGCAATCGGGAAAGGCTGTTGTTGATTTAGTCACCAGGAGAGAGCAGAGTGTGTCTTAGCTAGTCAAAGCTAACCATTAGCGATAGCAACTCCACCACATGGCAGAACATGTTCAGGCTTGTGTTATTTGTGGAGATAACACATCAGCGTTGCATTTTTTTTTACCCAAAAAAGAAGAGTGAATGGAGACAGTGGAAGAGTTGTCTTGATGTTAAAGCTGCTGTGGCTAATTTGGAAAACAAATTAGCTTAAAACATTTTTTCATGCCTCTTAAGGCAGCTAGCTTTTAGTTATAAATATATTGTGGAGATAAAAAAAATGAATAACTCAATAAAGTGGTTCTTTTGCATTTGTCTGAAAATCTACGCCAATAAAATATTTTAAGCTGTCGGTCTTGCTGAACCACCGCACTTCCCTCGTCCTCTATTCATCACGTAAATCCACTTTTTGCAACAGAACATCACTTTTGTTAGAACTTCTTCGCTCAATATTATCTGAGAAGGAGAAACAGCCAGCTTCTACCACTTTAACTTTAGGACAAACTACCAGGGTCCCCAAAAGAAAAACACCATTTGAAGTTACGGATAATGAAAGACGTTTGGACCTCGAAAATGGTGTCTGGTGTTTAGCGCTTTCTTGTTTTCCCCGGCATCATGGGTTTCCAGTTCCGGCAGAAGCAGCTCAGAAAATATACCCGAGGGGACGGGTGAGTGTTCCATGAATGTGTTGCGTTCAAAACCTAGCTTGTTCTGTAGATTCTCTATAACAGCTTTAACCAATCAAAGGCAAGATGTCTGCATCATGAATATTAATGAGTAAGACTCCATATGCCAGTTGTCGCTCCTCACTCCTTTAACTAACTTCTATTTCCTGAAACATAAGCACTGGAGATTTTTTTCCTCAAAGAAAACAACTCAGAAGGTATTCATTCATACACGAGACCACAGCAGATTTAACGAAATAGTGTAAGCCCACAAAGAAACAGGAATCAATGAATCAAATTTACTCATCAACAAATATCAAGATGGAGCAAAATAAAGTGAAGCTTAGCCAAAATGTTACCAGTGCTGCCATGTTGTGGTTTTGGAAACACTGATGTGGGGCTGCACACAATGACAGCCTTATTTTTTATTTTTTCGCCCTGGACAAAATTATCTTTTATTTTTCTTTACATTTTCTTTTTGTCAAGAAAAGGTCACATTCATCTAAAGGGAGATGGACTTGAAGCCTTTACTGAAACCAGTCACTTGAGGAGCCATTGACACATGAATGTTACATAGAAACTGAAACCAAAAAGCACTGAAGCTCTATCTAGTGGCAGACAACGCCATAACTTTTAAGCCCCGCCCACTGCGTGCAAGTCAATGTGAGTTTTACTGTATAATAAACAACAAATAGACAAAGACGTTCAGTGCATTAGTGACTACATTTTAGACAGTTTTACAACCTTTAACATCTTTATTTAAATAAAATGAAGTTAAACTTCTGAATTATAAAACATCACAAATCAAAAACAATAAAGGTTAAGAAAGAATAAATCTCTCTGGGAAGTTGATAGGAATTTTTGACTCTTCAGACTAAATGAACAAAAACTCTGTCTTTTTAATGAACTCACATTTGTGTGGGCAAGTGTTCATCATGTCGAGTAAATTGAATGTTCAGTTTTAGCTCATTTTAGAAGTTAGATGAGCACACTGACTGCATTTCCATAACGGATTTATTTCCAGAAGAGCAATTATGATGCTATTTTTTTTTTGTGGCATCCAGTTTGTGTGGTCTGGTTTTTGTAGAGTCAAACTAGACTGAGAGTTTTCCTGCAAGACTAAATATGTGCAGAAACTTTGACTAAATGTTAGGGAAAAGATGGGGCTGGATGGGTCATTAAGCCTCACACAAACGGACAACAGGCCAGCTTGTGGTTTTAATAGGACACAGACACATCATCATCACCCTCACTTGTAATGCTTTGGTAACACACACAGTAAACAGTGGCTTATTTGTTCCTTCATTATTCACACAGCTTTGTTTCGTCTCCATTTCTCAGGACACCCGGATCGCTGGGGGATACGAGACGGTGCCGACAGATGACATTCACATGAAGCAAATTGGATTTGATAAAGAGTGGTTACACTTCATCCGAGAGTTCATATCCCCTGTCACTTTAAAGGTTTTCTCAGGCTATTACACAAAGGTTAGTCCGACCTTCTGGGGAAAACCTGAACCATTTGCAGTGTATTTTAGAGCTTTCTTTTTTTATGTGCCATTCTTTAATGACACAGATTATGTTCTGACACAGGCTGGTTAATAACATGAAGCATTTCTGTATTTTTATGGCAGGCTTATGCGGTAATGAACTTTGTTGTAAAATACACACCTGGTAGACAAGCCTACCTGAGGCCCCATCATGACTCCTCCACCTTCACCATTAACATCGCACTCAATAACAAAAATGCTGATTTTCTGGTGAGATTTGCTAAACAAACATCACTTCATATTTTCTTGCTTTAGAATAAGCAGGAGCACAACTTTGGGTTTTTTTTATTGATTTTTTTGTCTTTTTGTAGGGCGGAGGTTGCCGTTTCCACCGATATAACTGCTCCATAGAATCACCGAGAAAAGGCTGGAGCTTCATGCACCCAGGACGCCTGACTCACCTCCACGAAGGCTTACCCACGACTAATGGCACCCGCTACATCGCAGTGTCCTTCATTGACCCTTGAGCTTTCGCTTTATAGTTATCTGTAAATTATTTTATGTCTTTACTTTTTTCCTTAGTGTTTCATTTTAATTTTAATCACAGAATGATTCCCTGATTTATTTTTCAAAGTGATTGCTTTGAAAGAATGAATATTTGCAAAAGATGAATCTCTGTCAAACAGAGTGAAGAAGGGGAGAGAGGGACGTGACAGAAGCAATCAACGCTTACAAATGAGAAACACAGATTTGTGAAAAGCAAACAAAGCAGTTAGCAGGGGGCAAATTGGTGCCCCTTTTAGAATTTAAGGTATTCATTTCATAAACAAGCAGCTTTCCAGGATTAGGTAGGTTGTAATTTCATTTATTTATTTATGGAGCATCTTTATAACACCAGTCAAAGTGGCCCAAAGTGCTGCACACTAAAAAAAAACAGATTAAAATATAAAAGAAGTAAAACTGGATGAGATTTCCCATAACCCTAACCCAACTAAAAACAAGATTAATGCCAAAAATAAAAACAAAACATATAAAAGCAAAGAAGCAGAGAAACAGGCGATATCTGGATCATTTTTTTATCCAGTGGCACCATGTAGTTGCTGACAAATGTATCACACTAAGCCATGGTTTTCACTTCCATTTTTTACAGCCAAAAGCAATACCTCTTGTTCATGAACTCACTCCCCTAGCCGACAAAACACAGCTAAAACACATTTTTTTTTACAATTATTATGCTCATGTTATGTTGTGTTTTTGTATATTTATATTTTAAAGACTTACTTGCCCATGAGAAAGGTCGCCAACTCTGCATCAGCTGAGGTACGTCCTCAAGAATGCTCTGTGTTTAACATTTGCATGTAAGCAGTAGTCTAACGCTATTGGTAAGTGTTGACTGGCGCTTCAGGTCATATTGCATGGAGCTCTATGGGACGGGGGGGTGGTCTTAGCACAAAAAAAGAAAAGACTTATTGTCTACATATAGTACATGATAAGACAAGCTCTTTTACATAATTATAAAAAGCATACATCATTCCTTAAAGGTGAAAACTCTGGGAGCTTAAATGCAAAACAGATTGGAAACTGCAGTGAAGTCGATTGTCTAATGTCTGGTGGAAGTCTGTTCCAGAGTCTCAGTTAAAACTTGGAGAATGCACAGTCCCCCCAAGACTTACGTCTCTGAATCAGTGACCATTCTTAATGTATACTTGCTGGTAGATCTACAAACGAATAGCTGTATCAAGTGCAAATGTTTTTTTATTGTGCATTTCAGGTAAAATGTCACTAAATGCAGTTTGTGCATGTTGTGTGCCTGGCAGCATTTGTGTGTTTGATTCTCCCCTCCCTCAGCTGTGTGTACACAAGCTCTGACTTGATAATGAACTTTTCCATTTTGTTGTAGTTTTTGTGTTCAGGGACTGCTCCAGCTTTGGGGGCTCATCCGGGATCCTTTACTCCGAGTCAGTCACACACACACAGATTCTTCCAGAAATTTAATTGTTCAAAATATTACTACTGGTGCTAATCAACATTGTGTGTCTTTATTTCCAAAATATATGTATTTATTTGCTGGAGTGTGTGTGTGTTCATGTGGATTTCTACACTGAACCAACCAATTAGAGATTTGTATTCACTTAGATTCTGGCCCTGTAAAAACGAGATATATTTTTGTAAATTTGTACACATAAAACAGAGGAAAGCAATAGAATTTCTGTTAGAGTCAAGTTTTGCCTTACTTGAAAAGTTTCCTTTTGTTTTAGCTACTAAAGGAAATTTGCCTTACTGAATACTGTTTCATTTCCTTCTCCTGGTGGATGTGAGTGACTAGATTTTGAAAAACCTAAAAAAAATGTTTTAACTTGTTTAACTTATTGCTGAGATTTAATAAAAATCATGGTTGAAAAAAAATGTTTTGTTTTGTAGTTAATTTTTGATACTTGTAACACATTTGTTCAAGTGGATTTTAGGAATGTCTGGATTTCATCACATCTGCAGACAGATGTCTTATCGTTGTTTCAGTTCACTTCCAAGTTTGAACTCATCACCTGTAGAATCAATCAGGCCTGTTCGAGTTCTGCTGCAGGAGGGGTTCCGGGTGTGGTGTGATGATCTACATGAGTGCAGATGTAGTTCAGTGTACCTTAGGGGGAATGTGTAAACATGTTCCAGTAACCTGATGAAAGCTCTACAGATGGGGGTTGTAAGACTAAAGGCAGAGCAGAGGTGGTATGTATGAAAGGTGATGCCTAAATAGTGTCATCCTTCAAAAAGTAACACCAGTGCTTTAAGGTATCAATTTCTTATCTGGTCTTGCAAATTTTTAGCACCTTTGCCCACGTTAGCATCTCCTTCCCCTCTAATATGCAAGTTTTCACTCTGCGGTGTTCACTCCCTGACCACACGCTTCTGCTCCTTGAATAGCCAAGATGAAGGCTGAAAGTCTGAGCAGCAAATGGGGGGAAAGAAGGAAGAGATTTAGGTCAGACTGGGAGGCTTGCTGCTGCTGAAAGAACCCTTTGTCACCATCATTTCCTCTGAACTGCCCTGAGTCCATATCCTGTGAAAGGTGACATTGAATACAAGCAAGCCTGCAGAAAAACCCACATACAGACCAAAGTAGAAGACTACCACAGGAATGATGACTTTATCAGAAGGTTGACTTATTTCAACAGACAGGGGGATGAGGCACATGTGTGGTATTTAAAACTCAAATATGGACTGTTTTATGTCTCTTCGTGCATCGGGAGCAGCATAAGGAAATATGATCTCATTCTTAAATACATGAACATGCAGGATGTCCTTTGGGAAATGGTGATTTAGGCATTTGGGCGACGGTGGCACAGGAGTTAAGTGCTCGCCCCGTAATCGGAAGGTTGCAGGTTCGAGCCCCACTCAGTCTGTCACTGTCGTTGTGTCCTTGGGCAAGACACTTAACCCACGTTGCCAGCTGGTGGTGGTCGGAGGGACCGGTGGCGCCTGTGCTTGGCAGCCTCGCCTCTGTCAGCGCGCCCCAGGGCAGCTGTGGCTACATCGTAGCTCATCCCCACCAGTGTGTGAATGTGTGTGTGAATGGATGAATGACTGATTGTGTTGTAAAGCGCCTTGGGGGGTTCCAGGACTATCGAAGGTGCTATATCAAATACAGGCTATTCACCATTACCACAGCGTACAATCTGACCCTCACTAAACAAAGGATTTAAAAGAAGTTTTTATAATCATGTTATATTTCAAGCCTGAAGCCAGTTGGTGTGTGTGGTTTCACAGCTGGTGCTTAATCCTAAAGAGTCAGTATTGCAGATAAATTAAGTTAAAAAAATAAAGAGTTCAAAGCCAATTTTTACAACAAGTCATGATTTACTTTCTAAGTCAATTGTTTACCTGTTGCTTCTTGAATGTGGACCAGGTGAGATAATTACAGGTGAGCAGGCATGAATGACAGAACCAGGAAATACAGGTGCTGGTCATAATATTAGAATATCATGAGAAAGTTGGTTTATTTCAGTAAATCCATATTCCAATTAGATTAATTCATTACACACAGATTAATATACTTCAAATGTTTATTTCTTTAATTTGAACTGTAACTGTTAACTAATGAAAATCCCAAATTCAGTTTCTTAAATTATTAGAATATTGTGAAAAAGTTCAGCATGTTAGCATTAGCAACTTCTCCACACAGCAGAAGCTCCTCCAGGCTTGTGTTATTTGTGGAGATAAAACATCCTTGTTGCAAGTCAGTGGTAGAGTCGCATTGCTGTTATCCAATCAGAGGCGAGATGTCCAAACATCAGGAAATAAAACACCACAACCTGCCATCTGAAGCTCAGCTGTGATGTGGGTCACTGCTATTTACTGGAAATGGTGCACTGGTGTCGCCCCCTCCCCGAGTACGACATAAAAGGCATTAATTCCTACGAGAGGCCACTGCAAATGTATTGATCAAATTAGTGTCTCACACCTTCAAAACAAGAAACACAGACATTTTTCATTCCTTCCACAACATTTCTATTTTCATAAAATTTTCCTTAAAAAAAACTCGGACTGAAAATATTACATTTTACTTAATTCTGGTTAAAATCTGTAATCATAATAAGGAATTTACCAAGGGTGAGAAATGTGGCAAAAGTCTTCAACCCCATTGCCCATCATTTGATGTAGGCCAAATACATGTGAATGTGTGACATATACGTATACAAGGCACCACATGACTAACTCACTGTACATTTCTCTAATTCTGTTTGCACTAACAGGCAGAGGAGACGGGGTGGGTATCTGAGTTCAGGCACAGTGCAATTTGGAGTTAGTGGAAAAGTACCAGGGTGAGTGAAGAGGAAGTGAAGGAAGATGTGGTACAGCTGTTCATTTGAGTTGTGTAAACTTATCTATAGTCAAATGTTTCTTTTCAGTGGTGCAAAAAGTGGGTATGCAGTGTATGCCACGCATAGGGATGCCAGGCTAGAGGGGTCGCCAATGCAATGAGGCCAAAACCTTTTTGGATGGCACATCAGTGGTTAGGTTTTTTTCCACGTCATCGACACAAAAATTCAGGCAAAATTTGGTGCTGATGCTGCTGCAGCTTTAACACACAAATGTTACTTGCTTCCAGAAATAAGTATATCCTGAGAATCTACATTGGATCAAGTGAAAACTCCTCAATATATAAACGTGCGACTCCCTGACATTGGGTTTTGTGATAATGATGTGACAGATGGAATCAAACGTGCCAGGTTGGACAAATAATGTTAAATGTGATCATCATGATTCAACAAATATAGCGCAATTATTACAAACCTGTCATCACGTCCATCTTCCAGGTGAATAATCAGATATATTCCTAGTCCAAAACACCAATTATAGCTGATTGTATGCTTTGAGACCATCAGCACACTCCCTTTTACCAGCCAGACTGTTTACCATCTCAAAGTAAACTGGTTGCACGTACCATTTATCTAAATTACACAGCCATGCCCTGTAAAAACAATCAGCAGCCCCATACTCCCAGACAGATATTGATTTATAGAGAAGACAAAAGTAGAACAGAAGACAGGCAGAAGATGGGGAGTTGTCAAAAGCCACAGGAGTGCTGTTTATAGTAGGCAAAGAAAAATCAAAACGTGCCTTTTATGAGCTATTTTGAGCCTTCTGAATGATATTTTTGAGCGTTTGGTCTGGTTTTGCGCTCCTTCAATCAGCTCTTTGTAAGTTGAGCTGCAGATGAAAGAATGGTAGTGTACGGCCTTCTTGTGTCAGGGTGTGTCTGCCCCTGGTGTACGTGGACGCTAAGTGTCTTAGGTCAACCAAAGCGCACTGAAGTAACAACAATATGCTGTCATTCCAACAACCAAGAAACCCAGTTTAGCACCCATCTGAGCTCAGATCTTAATGGAATATTATGAGCGAGTAGGATTGGGGTTAGTGAATCATGAGGAGCTGACCCAAGTGGTTGGGGTGAAGTCTGGGCCTCTCTGCTAAGGCTGCTGCCTTCAAGACCCAACCCCAGATAAGCAGAGGAAAAGGGATGGATGACCTGGTGCAGTTTGCAATTTGATTTCAGTTTTGACTAGGAGGAATTGTGTCAAAGAGACTGATAAGCTAACAGCTGACGCAAGTTAATCCAGTCTAATCAAGTTCCTAGCAGTTCATGCAAATGTGGTTGGATATATTTCTGCAGATATATTTTTTTACATTACAATGTATTTTAAATAGAATTGCATGGTTAGTTACATTCACAGATTAAAGCAGTTAGCCACTTTTATGGGATTATCATATTTTTACATGAATAATCATAAGAAGCAAAAGTTGACAGGCACCAACTGTGAAAAATCAGAGCAACTTTTGAAAAAGTACAAAAAATGTTGTGATTGTTCATGAAGGTTATAGTTAAAAAAACTATTGATAATTCAGGACGATGTCATCATCTTATTATGTCAGTGGTGGGAGTGTTAATGTGCAAATAAAATTGGGGGGGGCAGGCTGCCACAGGAATGCAGAAATGGGATCCATACCTGGACTCCCTGACGTCCACCCCCCAAGGTCCTATGTTTGCAAGATGATGTGAGGGAGCAAGAGGAGAAAAATGTATGGGGATGGGGAGGAATGGCTGGTTGGCCTAAGCCCTCCAGGGAGCCAGCTCCCCCACTGGCCCAATAGGCACCTCTGTTGTCAAAATGCCACCCAGGGCATGGAGACCCCCAGCCGACCTCGCCAGGGCCCAAAGCAGCAGCATCACAGAGCTCCACGGAGTCCGAGGGCACCAACCCAGCCCCACACCAGCAGAATATCTACTCTCTGCATTTGCACAACTTCCAGAATATATACATCCAAGTAAGGTCATATAACCATGTTTAAGCACTATCCACATGTGAGCAAATGTGGGTTAAAAAAGGACTCGTTTTCAGATGTTCAAAAAGAAATTATAAAAGAAACCACATACAATTTAGGTATATATATATATATATATATATATATATATATATATATATATATATATATATATATATATATATATATATATATATCAAATATATAATGATTGACCTGCTTCTCTCAATTCACCTAACTTCTATGTGGTTTCTTTTATAATTCCCTATATATATATAATGATTCCAATGTCTAACATGGAGCTGCAGTGAAACTGCCTGGTTTCCAGAAAAGGCCACTGGCTGCTATGCTTGTTTAGCTGCAGCCATCTTTCTGTTATGCTCACATGCAGTCAATTTCCTTTCTGTCCATAGTTTGTTTGTGATTTTTGGCTCGATGCTGAGGACGGCCACCCACACATGGCGTGTCTCTAATGGATCTGTATAGTCAGAGGACTGAAGCAAAAAGTCATCAGTGTCTTATAGTTTTATTTTTGTTTCAAAGAAGAATCAATTATGTGAATAAATATAGAGTAGTTTTCACTAACG